ACCACATGAGAATAGGAAGAAGCAAAGTGCTAGAGAGGCCCACAGAAATCCACAAAGATACCCACACAACAGACTGCTGGCAATGGTGGAGAGACAGCCCGAACTGACCTACTCTGGTGATGGGATGGCCAAACACCCTAATTGTCGTGCTAGAAACCTCATCCAACTACTGAGGGATCTGGATGCAGAGATCCATGACTAGGCCCCGGGTGGATCTCTGGGAGTCCAATTAGCGAGAATGAGGAGGGTTTATATGAGCGAGAATTGTTGAGACCAAGGTTGGATAAAGCACAGGGACAAATAGCCAAATGAATGGAAACACATGAACTATGAACCAATGGCTGAGGGGCCCCCAACTGGATCAGGCCCTCTGAATAGGTGAGACAGTTGATTGGCTTGGTCTGTTTGGGAGGCATCCAGGCAGTGGGACCGGGTCCTGTGCTCATTGCATGAGTTGGCTGTTTGAAACCTGGGGCCTATGCAGGATTGCTTGGCTCGGCCTGGGAGGAGGGGACTAGACCTACCTGGACTGAGTCTACCAGGTTGACCTCAGTCTGTGGGGAAGGCTTTGCCCTGGAGGAGATGGGAATGGAGGGGGGGGGGGGCTGGGGGGAAGGTGAGGGGGACGGGAGGGGGGAGAACAAGGGAATCCGTGGCTGATATGTAGAACTGAATGGTATTGCAAAATAAAAAAAAAAAAAGTATGTTCACAATATTATTCAACTCACTTAACTCACTCTCCCAAGAAACATTCAAACCAAACTTTGAAAAAAATTGGTATTTCCCCCAGAATCAGCCAACACTTCCAACAGTGCTTCGTTTTTGCCAAAGCAACAATTCTTAAGAGCTGTTATATTGTGGCTATGCCGATATTTCAGATCACTAACCAATCTTTTACCCCAGTGCTGACATGTGTCTGCACTGGGGGCTCCAAGGAAATTAGTGTGTTTTGTGCTTCACCAAGCCGTAAAGTCTTCTCTTGCTCTGTCTAGGTAAAGCAGCCTTAAAACACTTTGAGTGAAGAAGCACGTAAGCAAAGTCTGGGTGGAGAAGAGCCCAGGTGGCAAGCACATTTTCCCAGATGCTCAGGAACCCTGTGTCCTGAGAAACTCTCAGCATTCACATCAGAGGCTGGAAGCAAGTGGTGTTTCAAATCGACTGGTCTCAGTCTCGGGGTCAGGTACTGAGTAACGGGTGAGCAAGTGACTAAATACTCTAAGGACGTCTGGTTTTGATCCGGGCATCTGGCACACACTTGCCATCTCAGTCCTTGGGAGGCTGAGGAACTAGGTGAGTATGGGTTACATAACAAGTCTGCCTAAAAAGGGAAGACAGACAACCAGAAATAGGAAGGAAGGAAGAAAAAAAGGAAGGGGGGGTGTCTGATTTTAAAAGCTGGTGAAAATACCCATTTCCTCTACATGACGCATGCTCACCCGTTACGATTACATCCCAGCAAGCTGTAGTTTCCCTCTTTGGTTTCCTGTGGTTAAATAGTTTTAATGGTTTCTCTTCTCACTATAAAGTCAGGAGCAATTTTAAATCTTTTACACAGTTGCTGCTTCCCCAGAGCAACACATAGTTTACCAAGGATCAAAGCCATTCTTAAGAAGGTCACTCTGACAACAGTTCTTCCTTGTTCCCATGTGCCGACTTAAGAGCTTTTTAAGATTTTCAAAGTGCATACGTTTGCCTGTATGCATATAGGTATATGAGTACTGTGTGCATGCCTGCTGCCTAGAGAGACCAGGAGATGCCAGCCCTTAGAACTGCAGTTACAGACGGTTGTGAGCCACCATATGGGTGCTGGGGCTGAACCCAGGTCCTCTGCAGGGGCAGCCATGATCTCCACACTGAGCCATCTCTCCAGCCCCTTCCCTACAACATGTGTTATATAATTTTAAAAGATTATTTGGTAAGCCACTTATAAAATGAAGAGGCTTTTTGTCTTTCAGGTGACAATCTTCTTGTAACATAAGGTGTACCTGCCCTAACATGTCCCCAAGTCATAGTGTTTTCAGTTCCTATAATGAGATATCATCAGTGGGTGACTATAAATGACAGACATTCCTCTACGTCTTGAAACTGGGACATCCAAAATCAAGGTGTGAGTAAATCCAGTGTCTGCCAAGGGCCCATTTCTTAGACAGTCCTGTCTTCATTGTGACATCATGAGGCAGGGAGGATTGAGTTGGGTTTCATGGATCTTTTTAAAAAAACAACAATGACCAATCCAAATCATAAGGCCATAGTTGTTACCTCTTAAAACCATCACACTGAGAGTCAGGACCTCAACACACAAATCTGAGGTGACCCAACTGGACTATAGCATTAAACACTTGGGGTTTTTTTTTTGTTTTTTTGGGTTTTTTTTGTTTTTGTTTTTTGTTTTTTGAGACAGGGTTTCTCTGTGTAGCTTTGCGCCTTTCCTGGATCTCGCTCTGTAGACCAGGCTGGCCTCGAACTCACAAAGATCCGCCTACCTCTGCCTCCCGAGTGCTGGGATTAAAGGTGTGCGCCACCACCGCCCGGCTTGCATTAAACACTTGTATAGAGCAGAAGGTGACCATCTTGTCTCACTTTGCCCCCTTGACTACAGTAGGAGAGAGGAAGTATAATCAGAGTACACTTAATGTTATTCAATAAGAATATTGTGAGACAATATTAGTTGGCTTACAATAAGTCAATGAGGAAAAAAAAGGGCTTTCTCATTTCCTCTTTATAATTACTTTTAAAAACACACAAAGTTGATAAGGTTGCAATAAAACTATTAAACTCCTAAGTCCTTTTGTTCTTAAATTTATGGATATGTATGCATGGCTCTTCCTATGTATGGCACATGTATGTGGGTGCCAACAGAGACCAGAGGAGAGTGTTGGATCCCCTGGAACTGGAGTCGGAGGCCATTGTGAGCCCCTTGACATGGGTCCTTTGGAAGAGCAGCAAGTGCTCTCAACCTCTGAGTCATTTCTTCAGCCCCTAAATCTTTCTGACCATGTAAATTAACACAACTTTTGTTGAGTTTTAGTTTAGTAAGAAAAAAATAAAAGCTATGAAAAAAAGGTCATAGTGTTTTACCATAAGACATTCTTAACTTTTAACCTTAGGGGAATAAACCAAAAGAAAAACTGCATGTATAAAAATACATAAAATATAAAAATTGAAATATTATCTTTAACTGGATAAAAGGAAAAAAATGAGGTATAATGGATCAAACCCAAGGCCTCAAGTATACTAAGCAATCACCTTACCACTGAGTTAGTTCCCTAGAAAATGTTTGTATCTTATCAAGATAATTAAATGGCCCAAAGCAGAAGACGGATTAAATAAATTCAGACATGCCAACTCAGGGGAATCATTACAAATCATTATTTTGTGTAAGAACATGAAAAGTGTTGATGAGTTCATATTTGATCAAATGTTCCTTCTAAGTCACACACACACCTATGACTGGGACGGGACAAGTAGAGGGGACGGGCAGTTGCTGTACTAGAAACTACAGGACTGTGCCTTACGTCTCTTCTGGCTGTCACGGTGGTATCATGTACCTGGAATCCCAGCCACGCAGGAGGCTGAGAGGCCAGCAAAAGAGTAGGCTAGCTCTCTAACACCTCAAGGACCCGAGTTCAACCCCAGAGCTGGTTTGTCAGCTCAGTGCGTCATGGGTTTGGTAGAATGGCTAGTAGTGAAGTTTACACTAGCCGTGACGTGAAAAGACACGGAGCGTGCCCTGTGGCTGCCTGTGAAACATGACTTTTCCCTTCATCTTCCTGGGGAGGCTTTCGCAGTGGCTCCACCCTTGCTTCTGGAGACAGCTGCCCAGTCTGTCTTCAAGGGCCTCTGAGGACCAAACGCTAGACCACGGAAGCCAGCCTCCCGCCGTCCGTCCGTCCTCTCTCACCACCTTCACACTGCCTCCCCAGCTGTCCCGCCCCAAGGACCCAAAAGAATCAAACGGGAATCAAAGGCCTCGGCACAAGGAGCAGACTCTGCTGCAGAATCAGATTTCCCAGGCCAGGCCAGGCCGTAATTGCTAGAAGCCAAAAGCAACAAAGCAGCTGCCTGCCGGAGACTGAGCTAAAGGACCCTGCCCCGCACCCCCGTTTTAACTATGCGCGTGTTCCTTTTTCCTCACCCCACCTCACCCTCCCTATTGTGCTCTGAAACCAGTGATTGCTGGACACTAAGCCCCAGAGATTCGAGCACCGGGGGGTGGGGGTGGGGGGTGGGGGGATGGGGGGGTGGGGGGGTGGGGGGGGTGGGGGTGGGGGTTTGAGGGAGTCCATACAGCAAGCCACTGCCAATAACCTTTGAGGGATGGATAGGCTGCTCTTTGATTTGAGCTACCAGGAAATCAGTGTGATAGTCCCAGCCCAGTGTGTGGTGTGTGTGTGTGTGTGTGTGTGTGTGTGTGTGTGTGTGTGTGTGTGTGTGTGCTGTGATAGTCCCAGCCCAGTGTGTGTGTGTGTGTGTGTGTGTGTGTGTGTGTGTGTGTGTGTGTGCATTTAAAGGAGGGACTACAAATGAAGCAACCACAGCTTGTGTGTGTATGTGAGTGTGTGTAAGTATGTGTGTGTGTGTGTGCATATGTGTATGTGTGTGTGCATTTAAAAGAGGGACAACAAATGAAGCAACCACAGCTTGTGTGTGTGTGAGTGTGTGTGCATTTGAAGGAGGGACTACAAATGAAGCAACAACAGCTTCCACCCTCTAAAGATGTTCCAAGAGCTCTTTCAATAAATAAGGCCTTGTGGCAAGTGTTGGTGAGCTCTGGAACTCTCTCCAAGCTTCAGAAAGCCTCTCTCTTCAACAGCGTCCTAAGAACTGATACACTTATCACCGCTGCAGAAGGACTCTCCGCAAGCCTGCCCTGTGCTGAGCCCCGCCGCGCCGCCTCCGGCTCTGCCAGGCTGCAATACCTTGGAACCACAACAACTCTGGGGCAGCAGAGGTCTCCTCAGGCATGAGCACTTCACCCTCTTTGAAAGGGACTTGCTTACCTTCATAAGAGGCAATGGGAGCTCTTCTGTCACAAGTGTTATTCCAGGAATTTCCTAGGGAGGGACATACACACAACGTATCAACCACCCCATGCTCTTCCTATGGGGGAGGGGCATACACACAACATATCAACCACCCCATGCTCTTCCTATGGGGGAGGGGCATACACACAACATATCAACCACCCCATGCTCTTCCTATGGGGGAGGGGCATACACACAACATATCAACCACCCCATGCTCTTCCTATGGGGGAGGGGCATACACACAACATATCAACCACCCCATGCTCTTCCTATGGGGGAGGGGCATACACACAACATATCAACCACCCCATGCTCTTCCTATGCACCGGGGTGCATACACACAACATATCAACCACCCCATGCTCTTCTTCTGGGAGAGGGGCATACACACAACATATCAACCACCCCATGCTCTTCCTATGGGAGAGGGGCATACACACAACATATCAACCACCCCATGCTCTTCCTATGGGAGAGGGGCATACACACAACATATCAACCACCCCATGCTCTTCCTATGCAGGGGGGGTGCATACACACAACATATCACCCTAAGCCCAGGCCTCATTAGGAAGTGTCTTCTGCACAGACAGGAGCCGGGGACAGCTAGCTTCCTGTGCGATAACCTCTACTTTAAATAACTTCCTAGTGTAAAAAAAAACAGGACACAGTGTGTCTCTTGCCTTTGGAAAAGGAAATGTGCCTTAAATAATAGCTGACAGGTTCACTAAAGAGGGAGAGAAGATTGTTGTGAGAAAATACAGAATACTGTATTTCTAGACATTTCTACTTAAGAACAAATGAGGCAAATTACATTTGAAGCATTGAAGTCTTAATTCAATGAAACCATCACATTATCCGTACCCCTTCACTCTCTGTCCTTCTCTCCTTTCACTTCCTCTCGAGGGAACCAAAATCAGTGGGACTCTCACACACTGAGGTCCACCATGATCTCAGGACACGAGCACCCCAGAAAGAGTTTCTGCACAGTCTAACAGCCAAGCTAAAACATGCTCAGTTCATGCTAGGAAACCCACCACAGTATTCTGCTAACTAGTGAACACTGGATCAAGCTTAGTGGTCCGAGGGTGCTTGAACGCCTAATTCCAGGCAAGAGAGTTAGAGGCTGGAGGATCAGGAGTTCAAGGCCATCCTCAGCTCCATAGTAAGTTTGAGGCCAGCCTTGGCTATATGAAACCCTGTAGATTAAAAGGGGGGGTACTTAAGGACAAACTTCTCAAATCGCCCTTACCTCATTGATACTATGAAAAACGTATTTGTATGTTAACTACATAGTCTGCCTTTCTGCCGGTCAATTCTGATTTCCTTCCAAATGCAGAATGGTAGGAGAAAACAACTTAGGAGTGTTTTGTAAACATGTCTAGTTGGAGTTTGGATGGCTGGCTCTTACTGACATACCATTCTTACGGGAGGAATGTCATCTGTGACGAAGGACAAACTTTCAGAACGTCTGAGCCACTGAGTTCCCCGCAGGAACACACAACATCTGCGTTAAGGGTCTGCATTGCTTCACTGGTCAGCAATAGAGTCACCTCAAAATGGACCTGCAATTCCAGGTTCTGTGACGGTTACTATTGATTCTCAGCTTGGCAGCATTTAGGTCAGAGACAGGCCCTTGGATATGTCTGTGAGGCATTATCTAAATGAGGTGAACTGAGGTGGGAAGAGTAGCCCTCCGTACAGGGATCATCATTCCTTGTGGGTCCCGAACTACATAAAGGATAAATCCAACAGGGCAGGAGTGTTTGTTGGTCTTTAACTCTTGGCTGTGGTGCAGCATGACCAGCTGCTGCCAGGATGCTTTCTCCACCATGAAGGACCGTATCCCCAAAAAGTGTAGGACTGTATCCCCCAAAACTGTAAGACTGTATTCCCTAAAACTGTAGGACTGTGTCCCCTAAAACTGAAGGACTGTATCCCCCAAAACTGTAAGACTGTATTCCCTAAAACTGTAGGACTGTATCCCCTAAAACTGAAGGACTGTATCCCCTAAAACTGAAGGACTGTATCCCCTAAAACTGAAGGACTGTATCCCCTAAAACTGAAGGACAGTATTCTGTAAAACTGGAGGCAAAATCCCTTTCCTCAATGGTTTCTTGTGGCATTATTTTGTTATAACAACAAGAACAGTAACCTATATAAGTTCTAAATAGCATTTTAAAAGGGACAACTGTAACATTTTAAAATAACTATAATTATAACACACACTTTAGAATTAGCTACGAGCAAGAACATCCTAATTTCTAGTATCTTACTTACCTGTGTAGAAGTCCATTGAAATGTATAGACTTTGGGTCTGGTTAAGTTCAGTGAGTGGATTTTGTTTTTTGTTTTTTCCAAGTCCTTTTTTTTTTTTTTTTTTTTTTTATCACAGTGTTTGTTTTTAAAATCCAGTTACTAGTAGGTGTGGTGCTATACACCTGTGGTCCCAGTGAGAGGCTCATAGGCTAGCCTGAGCTACATAGTGAATTCTTTGTATCAAATTAAAAAAAAAAAAAACTCAAGTCAATCTTTCTCTCCAGATGTATGAACTTGCTAGTTCCTACTGTGGAAAGTTTTTAAGGTTGTAGCATTACGAATGATTGTAGACTATGGAAGGGAAGGGTAAATCTTACATTGGTCATTGCTAAAGATAAATATAAATGTACAGAGCTTTGGGATTAGAGGAGGCCTTTTAAGGTAACTTATTCTAACCACAAGAAGTGTTAAAGTAACTCGGAAAACCCCAAGATAGGTTTAGTATATAGAGGTTATAACTGTGGGTTTCTCTGCATTTTCTTGTGGAGACATCCAGATGTCACTGTGTATATGTTTACCAACTCTCCTGTGCCCCAGAGAGCCTTGAGAAATGAGCAGATGAACCACTGCCCATTGGGATAGTGGCCTCACACAACATCCAGCTAGAACACAGCCCAGGGACCACTGGTTCCAGCCCTGCCTCTCCACGCTTTAAACAAAGGAGCGGTGGTTAACAAGCAGAGAGCTGAGATGCACATTTCCTGACCCAATGGTGTAACCTGCAGGCTTCCTGCCACAGAATCACAGAATCTGCCTATACGTTCATAAGTCATCTAAAAGAAAAACAACAGCATGGTTGCCTGAAAAAGGAGTAAAGAAATCTATTAACTACAATCCAAAAGACAATCAGAGGAGACCTTCAGGGGTAGGGGGAGGTACTCCTGTAGGCATCAAAAATTTAGAAATTAATCAAATTAATCAAATTTCACTGTGTATGGTGATACATGCACTTGGGAGGGAGAGGCAGAAGGATCAGGAATTTAAGGTTTTGAGGCAGGTCAGTCTGGGCAACATGAGCCCATGTCTCAAAACAAAGAGGAAAAAACAGAAAAAAATTAAATAAATCAAATGCACTTGGATATTTCTTTTTTGTAGTAATATTTCTATTACTACATAGCCCAGGCTGACCTCCAACTCAAGATCTTCCTGCCTCATGAGTAGAATCACAAGCTTGTGCCACACGTCAGTCTCTTTATTGACTTTACTGACTGTATTGAGACATACACAAAATACAAACTGAGAAGTGTCACAGTTTACCCTAGTACATATTCCCAATGCCTGTTGCCTAAATTTATTGCTCTAAATTTCCTTTTAATACAGCTCCTGCTCCAGGACCAAGCACACTGCTCCACTATCTAACTGAAAGGAGATGAGGCAGAAGTTGCTGGCCACACCACACTGAGCTCACCACACAGCCCTGGTGCATCACCTCCCCCTGTGAAGGAAGGAGTCCAGACGGACAGGAAGAACAGCGGGAAAGCAAGCACTTAAGACTTTGACTCATCCTGAAGTTTTTTTACCTAAGTGTCTTCATAAATCCTCATAAAAATAGGGAAAGGTGTCATCAAAGTCAAAATCTACCAAGTAGTACCACAGTGGTCTAGTCACTCCTCATCCATAAAAACCTATTAAATACTTGAGTCTGGTCAACACAGGAGTAAAAATGTCATTTTCTAAAATACTATCAGGAGGTTTAGTTCTGCCTGGCAGTAGAAAGAGTAGAAAGTAGAAAGACCTTGTGTCCACTCCATCAAGTCTGCTGTTTTATGTAAATCCTTCTGGCCAAGGGAAGAGATCCACTGCATTTCAGAATACGTGTGCATGTATGCATATGTGTATATGTATGTATGTATGCATACAGGATAGGATTTTACTATATGTGTGTGTCCATATTTACATATATACATGTATCCTATGTGGTAAATTTTCACAGGTGGCATCATACTGACCCTCAAAATACTCTAGATTTTGCAGCATTTAGATTTTAGATTTTCCGATTAGGGTTATTTATGCATTCTGACAAGAAACTTCAATTCTGTTCCTTATCAGTCAAATCAGAAGTGAAATCATGGCCCTGGTTACCACAACTGGAATGGTCTACCACTGGCCCACAGTGCTGAATCCACTATGACTTTGTTAACTTACTCCTTTCCAAGTCAGCACAGAGGAGTACGGTAAGAGCATGTCCACGTCACTCATCTCTGGATACACACTCCAATAGGAAGAAGCTGAGTCGATTTTTAAAAGAGACATGGCACAGAGGAAGAAAGAAATCAACACTGTAATTTAACCAAATCAAATAAACCAACGAGTTTTCATCACCTCATTCATGCTTCTGGGGGTTAACCATTATGATTTTATCTACAGCTTAAGATGTTCAGGTTCTCTTTTTTTACAATGAGAATAATATTTTTAAAATCATTTGGTACTGCTTCTACCTAGATAATGTTATACCATTTATACACAGCCAGCCAACATAAAACTAGGCTAGGAAAGATGCACTTTACTGAAAATTTTTTTAATTAAAGAATCAAAATCTGATCTTATATCTCATCAGTTTCTGAGAACCACAGCTTCTTGCAAAAGCCACCAGAGAGTGAAATTTAATTAGCCACTGACTGGAATGAAGTTAAAAACAAACCTGCTCTTAAGCATCACTTCGACAGAGGCATTCATTATCAATTTACTGATTCCTCTCAAGCAAAAGGGTCAAACATACAACTTAAAGTGCAATATCAGCAGCACTTACCAATTAGAAATTCCTGAATGAGGTCAAATGAATGGCAGCCAGAGACATGCTCACAAATCCATTGAACAATCTTTAAAAACAAAGACCATAGAACCCTGTCGGCTTTTAAATCTACACTCAGTCCCACCAAAGCAATATAAAAACACATAATAGGCCGGGCGGTGGTGGCGCACGCCTTTAATCCCAGCACTTGGGAGGCAGAGCCAGGCGGATCTCTGTGAGTTCGAGGCCAGCCTGGGCTACCACGTGAGTTCCAGGACAGGCGCAAAGCTACATAGAGAAACCCTGTCTCGAAAAACCAAAAAAAAAAAAAAAAAAAAAAAAAAAAAAAAAAAAACATAATAAACAATACATTCATGAATGAATTTTTAACATTCTACATCTATTTTGGAGTGACCTGAAAAATACACCAACTTCCAGCTTAAAAACCAATATGGTCCTGGCTGAGCATTTCAATATTGTAAATAAGGTGCTTTTTACATACCCTTTTAAATGGGGCTTTTGGGTAGGATCCAGATAAACCTTCTTCAATCTGACACATTTTTTTCCCAAGAATTGATGGTATTATACAAAGTGCCCATCAAGAGAGCTACTGGACACAGGGTTTGGAGGCAACAACCTGGGCTTAAAGTTCAGTGCAGCATTCACTGAGAATATTGTCACTCCACTTCCCCATGAGGAGCAGCACCTCTGTGCTTCCCTTGTTACTGACACATATGACCCTGTATGTCAGCAACTCTTTCAAGGTTTCTATCCCTATGTTCAACTGCTGGAGGAAGAGATGTTGCAGAATATTATTTTAAAATGTGTTACATTTGTTTGTGCTGTGGAACATTTGTTTAATGATGCAAAGATGTGTGGCATTCTTTTATGTTACATTTGCTTAACTCTGTGAAGCTGTGCTATTGTGCCTGTCTAAAACACCTGATGGTCTAATAAGGAGCTGAAGGGCCAATAGCAAGGCAGGAAAAAGGATATGTGGGGCTGGCAGACAGAGAGAATGAATAGAAAGAGAGATCTGGGAAGAAAAGAAGAAAGAGTAAGAAAGATCAAGGAGCGAGTAAAGAAGGGCCAGTCACCCAATCACACAGCCAGACACAGAATAAGAAGGAAGGAAAAGAAATACAGAAATAGAGAAAAGCAAAAGCCTGGAGGCAAAAGGTAGATGAGATAACTTATGTTAAGAAAAACTTGCTAGAAACAAGCCAAGCTAAGGCCAGGCATTTATAATTAAGAATAAGCTAGGTGATAAGTGTGTGATTTATTTGGAAGCTGGGTGGAGGGGCCGCCAGAGAGTAAAGAGCCAAAAGAGCAAAGAGTAAAAATCAACATCAACAGGAAGTTCCCATCTCCTACTTGACAGGTCCAGCATGCCCAGCCACAGCTCACTCTCAACACGATGCTTTATTCTAAATCTATTGTTCCAGTTGTACTTATTTTAACATAGGTAATTTAATAAAAATTTTCTATAGACAAGTGAAATGCAGATGCAAAAAGAGTATTGTTGCATCAATAAAAGTTGTATATTGTGGGAAGACTCAAAGGCATGTTTCTCAAACATGAAAAGACTAGATGTAGATTCTAAAACACTACATGATAGATGCAGAGGAAACAGCTATTAAGAACGAGGTAAAAGCATGCCTACACAGATTACTTGGAAAGGTCTCAAATTATTGATCTCCTTAGAAACAAATATTCAGGGGCTGTTTGAGGAGATGACTCAGAGGGTAAAATGACTGCCACAGAAGCATTAGGACCTGATCCCTAGAACCCACATAAAAATGAGGGTGCAGCACACGTCTGGGGCAGATACAAAAGAATCCTGGATGCTCTCTGGCTGGCCAGCCTGGCAGGAAAGAAAAGCTCCAGGTTTAGATGGACCCATCTCAAAAATGAACGTGGAGAATTACTGAAGAAGACACACAGTGTTACTTCTGGCCTTCCACACACAAGCACATAGGTGTGCATGCACACACGTGTGTGTATACACACATGGAGACACATGAGTATGTATCTACATACACAAGCCTTTTAGGAAGAAACAGGAAATCAGAGACAGCATGCTTAGGATTGGTTTTGTGGGAGAAAATGACTGATGTAGTTAGCTGATTCACAAAGAACAGGCCTTATTCTACACTAAGAGTAAGCAGATAAATGTATATTTTTATGGTTTTTTTTTAAAGTGTGTTTTTTTCAACTAACTAGTCAGCCTCTCACTTCAGCCGTCATTGATTGACAACAAGGTTTTCCGACCTTACGGGATAGCTTCCAAAGTAAAGATCAACGAGATCACAGCGCTTCACAAGCAGCAGTGCACAATACAAACTAAGCTATCTTATTAAAACTGATAAATATTCACCAGAAGAGCTTAGGCCTTTGGCATTTGTTTGTTTGTTCTGAGAAGGCTGTGACAGGAATTAATTCTATAGTCCAAGATAGCATCAAACTTACTATGTAGCTGAGGCTGGCCTTGAACTCACAGAAATACTCCTGTCTCAGCATTTGGGATTGCAGGTGTGAGGCACTACACCTGGCTTGCTTGGCCCTTTTGGTAATGCGTTATACCAAATACAGACACACAGAGAAAAGCAGGTAGCCTGAGAAACTTGCTGTTTTCTGTGCGTCCTTGGAGGGGGCTGTGTTTATGGTATTGAAAAGCCAGTAGAGTGCTGGGTTTGGGGGTTCACACCTGATATCCCAGCACTTAGGAGACTGATGAGAACTACTTCAAATGTGAGGGCTGCTTGAGCCACAAAGTAAGTACCAGACCACCCTGAGCTACAGGGCAAAACCTCATCTCAGAAAAGCAGATAAAGGAAGAAAGGAGAATAGAGTAAGTAGTTGCCCTTTATCCTTAGGAGATACACTTCAAGACACCTGTGAATTCTGAAACCACAGATAGCACCAAACCTTAGCAACACTAACAGACATCATTTATTCACTCATGAAGTCAAGAACTTTCAAGTTCTCATTTAAAGGAAACATTTTATGGTGAATCTTTGGCATATCTAAATGTCATGACCATTATTAGGTAAAATATGAGTATATGACACAAGTACCAGAATACCATGATAGTGATCTGGTAACCAAGACAACTGCTGCATATGAACGGGCAGGTGGCACACACAGCATGAATACACTGGACAAAGTGACAGTCCATAATCCCAGGCCAGGTGGAGCAAGATGGCGTAAGATTTCATTACACGGCATACTTAGAAGAGCATACTGCGTAAAAAAACATGAATTGCTTCTGTGGGGGATTTTCCATTTAATAGTAGTAAGCCAGAGTTGATTGATGTACATTAACTGAAGTCATGGAAAGTGAAATGTTGGGTAAAGGGAAGGAACCATTGTACTCAACAGCCAGATAGATGTACCTTCACAGCCTGAGGCCTGGCAGAGAGCCACCAGAAAGGAAGCACCAAGTAAAGGCACTGCCACCAAGCAAAAATGACTTCTGAAGCAGCAAGTAAGTATATTTGGTGTTGTCTGTTGCTAGTGTTTGAACTCACTCTGTCTTCTCACCTGATCTTCCTGGAAACCTGGGTCTCGACCACAAGAGAGTACACAGTGCAGTGCGGCCATCTTCTCACAGTCCAGGCGGGTGTTCCATAGGAGCCACATCAAGTATGACTGGTCAAGGGCTGCTCTGTAGACCTTTCCAGAAGAGCAGTCCAGTATCAGGGACCCCGGCAGAGACTGCCAAGGACCGGGAGGTAGCACAGCAGCCATTTTGTTGTTTCCTAGCAAACACAAAAAAATAAAAGCAGATCATCAGATAAGAGAACCTCTCTGACCCAGACAGGTGCTGAAGCCAGAACAAGCCTAAGGAGACTGCATCCGCGAGACACCATACCTGTCAGAAACAGACTGTGGCAGATCAAGTCTGGGTGCTGAATGTTAAGTAAGTGGAGGAAATGGCCAGGGAAGTAAACAGCCACAAGGCAGCCTATAGGAAAGAGAGATTGGAGTCATCCACATGTGACAAAGTCCACCTAGTGCAGGTAAACCCCAGAACAACATGTTTTACTTTGAATATAGCAAAGCAGAATTAATTAATTAATTAACTTACTTACTTACTTATTTATTTATTACAAGTAGCAAATGTGACTGATGTGAGTACTGTCATCCGAGCAGGTAGATCTGACTGGCTTTGTGTGTGGCTCACCCTCCTTGTACACTAAGTCACGGCTGTATTATTTATGCCAATGGTTTTGTTTCTGAGTCAACTGTAGCTTTATGTGAATCTAAGTGATCTGGGAAGAAATTTAGAATAAAAATATCAAGCAACGTGAATGACTCCTCAATGTGTTATGCTGGGAATAGCTTGTAATGAGAATTTTCTTCATCTTTTTGATGGTTTGAGGAAGCTATGAAATGCAGTTTCTCGTACTGACTCACTCATCATCGTTTTGTTTAGGAAATTTTAAGGTTGGAATTTATCAAAGCGTGTCTCTGGGAGCCTTGGCATTCTGTGCAATAGTCATTGGTTTCCCTGTGTACCTAGTAATCAGAACATATGTGCCCAAATTGAGATACAATAAAAAAAATAGGCTCCTAGGGTCTCACAAAAGCAGAGTAGTGATTTTATAAAAGGAACTTCTGTCTTGTGTCAGCTAGCGGGGCTCCTTCCCTAAGAGGAAAGGAAGGAAGGAAGACAGAAAACTCCAGCCAAGTGCAGCATCCTTCGGGATGAAGTGACGTCAAAGAGTGTAATGCAAAGAACTGCAGAGCCCTTACCAATGTGGCAACACCACTGGAGCAAATGACAGAGCTGTCTAGAGGGACCCACCAGAAAGGGTGTCCAGAGATCTGTGCTGGCTCCTAACATGACGGGTGTCATGGTGGTGCTCTGTCCTAGGCCAGAGGACATCTGAAAGGTACTGTGGAGTCACATAGTCATGGGGGTAGGGTAGGAGATTCCTGCTAACATTTGTTTAGTGGACTCTAGGGCTTGTCTATCCATCAGTGTGCAGGACAATCTGCCATAAAAAATTAGTGCTTCATCCAAAACATCAGCAGCTACTTGACAGGGCCAATGATGGCTCATCCTGTGCACTGAGCCAATGACTGTATCAATCTCTAACATTTTTATTACATTTATTCACTTGTTTGGGGGAGTGAATGTTGAGGACAACTTGTAGGAGTCTTCCATCCTGAGACTGAACTTAGGTCAGGGTTGGGACCAAGAGCCTTTACCCATCAAGCTATCTTGCCTGCCCTAGATTCACTTTCTGAGGAAAGGGAACTGGGGCAGATGTGACTAGGACCTTGAGATAAGAGAGAATCCTGGACTATCCTGGAGGATTCAGTGTGATCAAAGTGTTACTAAGAGGAAGGGAGAGAGGAACCTGCCTGCAGGAAGTGACCACACAGTGACAGAGCGACTGGGATGATGAAACTAGCCCCTAGATGCCGGAGGAGGCAGGAAGTAAGTGCTTCCTCCGACTCTGCAGATGGAACCAGTCCTGCCCATAACGTGATCTTAGTCGCTCAGCACACCTTTCAATTTCTGAACTCCAGCCTGGAAACAGAATGCTTCTGCTGTCTAAACCCGAACTTTGTGGCCATTTGTTATACAGTGATGGAAAACGGTAGGATGCCTCTTAAGAGAGTCACTGAAAGGAACCCAGGCACAAATCTAACACTTTCTCAGCCCCGGCTTCACTGTGTGGGCGGTGGGGATACCTTCCCCAGGCAGAGCTGTTGTAAGGCTCAAAATTAAGTAAAATATTTAACATGCACTATTTATTAAATGGTGTCTTTTATTTATAAGCCTGACTTATACACATCCTTTTGTGTGGCTATTGACTCCACGTTAAAACATCCCTCATAGAGGGAAAGGCAGAGGCTCATCCATGTCCCTGTAGGTAATCCCAGTAAATACACTGGTTTACCAAGATGGACTTGGGTGGAATAATTTCTTTGGTCTGTTGCTGTTCTATCTTGGGTAAATAGGGATTTCTCTGTTTCCCCAGGAAACATAATGCTACAGCTATGTATAGGGTCCATAAGAAGAAGAAAAAGTTAAGTCTCTATATTTCAATCAATGCAAGCCCTTCTCAGCAGAGTAATAATAAATGGAAGTTATAAGCAATGGACAGCAGAACATACTACTCAAAAATGTAACTGTTATAATAGAACAGTTTAAATCTTAGATACAATTTTATGGCTATTAATAAATAATGCTTAAGAATAAAAGATGACTGTGTGAGACAAATTGTGTTTACAAACTCTGGTATTTCTGCCCTCTGCAAGACTGCGGACTGAATCATGCCATCCTTTCTAACTGTTCCCAGGAGGAGGAAAGGAAGATGGCGCGGGCCTGGAAGAGCATGGTTAGTGGATAGGTGCCCATTACTGTTGAGATGAATATGGATGCAGTGCTGCTGATGGGAGCCATGTCAGACTCTCCATCTCTCCCCCATCAGGAAGCAGCAGAGCCATCTCTTCAAGGCCATTTCCCAGGGTCCAATATCATGTCCAAATGTGCCATGCACTGGACCACACAGCAAATGATACTTAACCTCACCAACAGAATCATTCAAAATAAAAAACAAAAAAACAAAAAAACGGGGGCTTATTTTTAGTCCTCACTTCTCCAGGTTTCCTCACACTAATTAGTCAAACCTTTGTCATAGAAGCCGATGGACTGGCAGGCAGGGAAAGGACAATATATCAAAGAACCATGAGCTGTAAACCCGAAGCTTTCCCCCTTTAAATGCTGTGTCCTTCCCAGACGTAAGCAGGTCCAGAGCCGTCACCAATCACTTACGCCTGGGCCCCTCCACACGGCCTTGGAAAGCCGCTTTCAGTGTGGAGATGCAACCCTCTCTGCGCTGTCTTCACCATATGGAGCCCATAACATGCTCCCTTCTAATACTAAGGTTCCTTTCACCATATCTAGAGAAAACAATTCACTTAAGCTGGTCCACACATCACTAATGGGGACTTCTGCAAGCCTTTTATGATCAATGGGAGGGAACAGACAACTGTCTAAAGGCCTTTCTTCCTCTAGAATTCAGGGCCAACATGATTTATGATTTCTCACAGGCTCTTAGGGGACATCCTATTCATGGTCATTTGTATACTAACAAATGGCTTTTTAAGGGCTGCTTCCAAGAAAGCTGACAGCCTGGGATCTCTAAAAAAGGAAGATACACTTCAACCCCAAAAGCTGATGAGTTGAGTAAGAGGGTTGTGTGCCAGAGAAAACCTTCTCCCCTCAGACTTAAAAGGGTCAGTGACTGTCACCACAAGCCATATCTCAGAGGTATGAGAAAACAGAGTCATGGAGAAAAGAGTGAAGCTCAGGGCAGAGTGTGACCACTGAGCAGAGCAATGTTGGAAGAACAGAGTAGGGAGAGGTCCATCTCCATAACCACTGTGCTCCTTAGTTTTATTGTCAACAAAGGAGAGTCACCTAGGAAGAGGGAACTAAAGAATTGCCTAGATCATATTGGCCTGTGGGCAAGTCTTCTGTGGGGCATTTTCTTGATGAATAATTGACATGGGAGGCCCAGTCCACTGTGGGAGGTGCATCCCCTAGGCAAGTAGGCCTGGGAGGTATAAGAAAGCATGCTGAGAATGATCCAGAAGAGGGAGAGAACAAGAGCAAGAACAACCAGTAAGCAGGCAGCATCCCGCCATTGCTTCTGCTTCCTCCCTACTTAAGTTCATGTCCGACTTGCCTCAGTGATGGTAGACTGTTACCTGGAAGTGGAAACTGAAATAAAGTCTTTCCCCCAAGTTGCTTTTGGTATGTTTACCACAGCAACAGAGAAGCAAACCAGGATACCCACCAAGGTTGAGAAAAGTAATGCCCTTTGTCACGTGTGAGTCAGCACTCCCAGAAGCAGCAGTAAAGGTCTTTCTGTATCCTGCAGGTGAAGAACATGAAGCCAGAGAAAGTTAAGAAACAAGGCTAGTATTCACCTCACACTGTGTAACACAGACAGGGTAAGCACCTGCTGGCCTCTAGAAATCATGGTGCCCTCACTCTCCAAAAGCCACCAACGTGGACCACCTGAGGGCAGTCACAGTGGAGCAGACGTGCCAGCTCAGGCAAACCTAAACTTGGAGTCTGTGTGGGGAGTCCAAAGGGGGTGTCCAATGGGGTCTGCTCAATATCTAAGATGGAAGTGGTCTCAGGGCTCATTTCTACAGTTTTTACCAAGCTGCTAAGATTTCCCCAACTCACAGTCCCACGTTTAGTGAGAAAGGGGATTAAGCTGCTGATGAAACTGTGTTGGGATTCACTCTACTCTTCTAACTTAGTCTATGTGCTGCTTGGAATTATTATTAGAAACACACAAAAAATGTCTTGCACAACCTTACACTGCTTAAGAATATGTCTACAACTAGTTCTGAAGTTACTTTTAGTTGTTCCATTAAAAATTTCTTAAACTTTTCTGCCTTGATTTCTAACACCCTGGTAATATCAAGCACTACTGCAGGATTCTAAACTTTTATGTGGCTTGGCATAAAAGAAATTGAGTATTAGAACAGAAATTCCATCTTTAAAAAGTTTCAGCTACACTCACACATGTACTCTACAAATACATTAGTCTCTCTCTGTAGCTCTGGCTGGCCTGGAACTTGCTGTGTAGGCCAGACTGGCCTTGAACCTGGAGACGTGGCCGCCTCTGCCTCTTGAGTGTTGAAGTTAAAGGTGTGTGCCACTGTGTCTGGCACAACTGTAGATTTTGAGGAATTAAACAAACAAGCAAAAATCCTCCTAGGCATGGTTCAAACTAAAACTATTGCAGGGCATGCTGTGACCACAGAAGCGGCGGAGGCTGACATTTCATCCCATGCCCCAGAACGTTGAAATGAAATAAATATCTTAGTTTGATAGCATAGCATACTCTGGAATGACAGTCTGTTTACATTTGAGATCAAAGAAGATTTTAACTAAATTCCTATGTAACTATGTGAATTAAAGTTCCATTTAGTAATGACTAAACGGTAAACCAACACACTTTGGCAAATACATCCATTAGAAATGGTCTATAGTCTAGAACAAACCACATGCTGGTATAAAAACATATGCAGTATAAAAGTTACCTATCTTACTATTTACCATTAATTAATTTCTTCATTAAACATAACTACACAGTTAATCATAAAATATACTGATAATACTGCTTGCTAAGTGTTAAGATGTTTGCAATTTATCTAATTTGTTACTATTTGGAAAAAATAAAAGAGAATAAACTAAAAAGTACCTTTGTGAAGGTAAAACACTGAATATGTGATTTCTTTCCAAGAGTCACACTTTGGGCTGTAACATACACACAAACTCCCTAGGAAAAAGAAGGTATTTAGTAACATTTAAGTAATCTGCATAATAAATTTCCTGAGCCATTATTCACCTACTTCTATTCCTTTAGATATCCTTCCCCATCTTACTTCATAGATTATTCCTAAAGTCTTTACAAAGTGGTATTAACAAGATGCTATGAAATTCTGTGTCAGCATTTATCATCCACAGTTACAGGCAGTGCACCGTGGCAGGCACTGAGGATGGGAAATGGACAGACACACTCCTCTGCACGGGAAGCTGCGGGACTCGAGAAAAGGTCCCCCTGCATGAAGCTCAGATGAACGTGCACACACTGTCATTTTACCTAGCTGTCCCCTCCCAGTCATCTCCCAGAGCTCTGGGTCCCAGCTATCCAAACTGTGTTTTCTTTAAAGAAGACATCCAGTATTTTTAAAGGAAGATTGAAATGCAAACTATGGACCTTTCCTATGAGCAATGAGAGTAAATACGTGAGACCACACTCTTCCATGCTGGGTCCCTGACAGCTTTGGCCCACACCAGAACACGGCTTTCCCCACCTTCACTAGCCTCTCCATCTTCCTCACTGTGTAAAACTCTGCATTACCTCTAGCAGCTGTTGCTAATGTCAGTTACCTACAAACGAAGGCGTTGTGCTTCAGCTGATCCTGATTAAGAATCCCGCATCAAGCCGGGCGGTGGTGGTGCACGCCTTTAATCCCAGCACTCGGGAGGCAGAGCCAGGCGGATTGCTGTGAGTTTGAGGCCAGCCTGGGCTACCAAGTGAGTTCCAGGAAAGGCGCAAAGCTACACAGAGAAACCCTGTCTCGAAAAACCAAAAAAAAAAAAAAAAAGAATCCCGCATCAACAGTGCGGACCACAAGCGTTTCAAACTCTGAAGTAAACTTTACTGGCCGAGCATCCCTAATCCAGTCTTGCTGTTAGCAGTTTTGCAGCAGAGCCCTGGCTGGTTCGGAATTCACTCTGCACAGCAGGCCAGCTTTGCCTCCTCTTGTCCCCTGTCTCCCAAGCCCTTGGTCTACAGAGCACACTGCCTCGGGCCAGTTAGTTCTCCAAGCCTCGGTTTCTTCATCTGTACATTTAAAAATATAGAAACTACTTCTTAAAGTTCTTATATAAGGATCAAATAATCTACATCAATCTCTGGCAAAAGTATTTATATCTGGTTCCAAATGTTAGCTGCTATTATTATTATTCCAGAATAATTTGGCTGCTATTTTCAAGTTAGAGGAAATCACAGTTTGAAAAAACAAAATATGCTCTTAATGTAATATCCAGAGACTTTTAGTGAATATCCATCAATGGTGAAGATAACATCTCCACACTGGCTCACTTTGGGGAACCATTTAGACAATGAAAACTATTACAGACAAGTTTTCCAAGGAAACTGTCTCATTGGAACAATTATTAGAGGGCTCTATAAAATGCTCCAACACTGGCCTAATTCTGAGGACTTGCCATCATGCAAGCAGGAGGGAGGCGGTTCAGCCTCCCAGCAGGTGGTGCACAGAAGGGAAGGTGGCCAACTTAGATCCTCCATGATCGTCTAACCACAGCGCCTAGTCAGAGCTGACCACCAGAGAGAGAAGCGATATTTTCTCTTCAGTGATGTGTTTGCCTTCCTACTGTAACAGATTTATTAGAAACGTTTGCATGAACTCATAACCTTAAGTGACTCCCACGTGACCTGGCACTACCATAGCACTGTGCCCTCCACTATCTCTCAGAAGCATGCCCATCATTCAGATTTCAGCCTTTCGTTCCCTGGAAGGTACCCAATTTCATTCCCTAGAGCAGGAAAATACAGGACAAAGAAGCTTCAAGAGCGTAAAACCAATGCTGAAGAGACACAGTGGCTCCAAGGCCCTAGGTACAATGGACGGGCTGTCAAGCATCTTCAAGTCGCCTTTGTTTTGGAAAGGGAGAGGTAAAAAGGGCGCGTGTCGGCCCTGAATCTATCTGCAGTCCTTTCTCAACCCCCATTTCTAGGCTTCAAGACCCAGATCTATACTATCACAGGGGAGCTACACTTGGATTAGGCAATTTGGGACCTTTCTCTAATCTTACTTTGCCAGAGTAGGTCTCAGTGGAAGCAAGGCCATGATGGGAAACCAGAAAGGGAGACTTGGTCCAGAAAGCTCCTCCCAAGAGAAAAACCATGGCTCCATTCTGCCCAAACAGTGGATAGCAGAACGGCCCAGCCAAACAAAATTATCTGCACCCCAGATCACAGAACTTCTCCCATGTGCAAGGTGCTCGTTACATGACGAGAAATTGCACGTGAAGTGGCTCATTCCAGAACGCAGACTCTGCACGTGAAGTGGCTCACTCCAGAACGCAGACTCTGCACGTGAAGTGGCTCACTCCAGAACGTAGAGTCTGCACGTGAAGTGGCTCACTCCAGAACGCAGACTCTGCACGTGAAGTGGCTCACTCCAGAACGCAGACTCTGCACGTGAAGTGGCTCACTCCAGAACGCAGACTCTGCACGTGAAGTGGCTCACTCCAGAACGCAGAGTCTGCACGTGAAGTGGCTCACTCCAGAACGCAGACTCTGGAGCCCAGCGCTATCCACACAGTTCCGTTACTACGGCCATGTCCGCTGCTCTTCCGCGGTGTATTAAATAAACCACTTTCTGGCCTATAGATTGGATTCTTTCACCAACTTGCCTAGCCACACCACAATCTTGTTTATTTTAACCATAGAGGTAAGAAATCTTTTTTTAAACCCAATTGGAAAAATATGGTAACTGGCAACTTACTACTCAAAACAACAATTGCTTCTGCAGCTTGTTTTACCTCACTTGAAACAGACTTACTTTTTCTACTGCAAAACTGACTGCAGAGAATAAGGCCCATTTTCTACCCCCCTGGACAGTGGCAAGACAGGGGGAGGGACACTTCTGCATTTTGTACCAGATGAACTCAATGTGGTAAGCTGTGGTAGCCCTTTTATAAGTTCATAACGAGTTCCTCTGAATAAAATAAAAAGGGAAACTCCACAGAGAAGTAAAGCCTGAAGTGGTAGAGGCTGGGAAGATCCTACTCAGTTCATCCCTGTGAGCCTGCCCAGGTCATCCCTGTGAGCCTGCCCAGGTCATCCCTGTGAGCCTCCCAGGTCATCCCTGTGAGCCTGCCCAGGTCATCCCTGTGAGCCTCCCAGGTCATCCCTGTAGCTAGAGTTTTCCTGCCTGGCCCACAGTCAAGACAAATCTCTCTCACCTGCCGGTCCCACAGCCTCTCAGACCCGACCAAGTAAACACAGAGACTTATATTGGTTACAAACTGTATGGCCGTGGCAGGCTTCTTGCTAACTGTTCTTACAGCTTAAATTAATCCATTTCTATTAATCTATACCTTGCCACATGGCTCGTGGCTTACCGGCATCTTCACATGCTGTTTGTCATCATGGCGGCTGGCAGTGTCTCTCTGACTCAGCCTTCCACGTCCCAGCTCTATTCTCCTCCTTGTCCTGCCTATACTTCCTGCCTGGCCACGGGCCAATCAGTGATTTATTTATTGACCAATCAGCAACACATTTGACATACAGACCATCCCACAGCACATCCCTGTGAGCCTGCCCAGGTCATCCCTGTGAGCCTGCCAGGTCATCCCTGTGAGCCTCCCAGGTCATCCCTGTGAGCCTGCCCAGGTCATCCCTGTGAGCATACCCAGGTCATCCCTGTGAGCCTGCCAGGTCATCCCTGTGAGCCTGCCCAGGTCATCCCTGTGAGCCTCCCAGGTCATCCTTGTGAGCCCCACATCTCACTCTATCCCATTTTCAAAAGCAAAATTCTTTCTGCTAGCCTTGTCCCATTTTCCTTTCCCACTAAATATATCCTGTAAGCACTTAAATAATTGGAGTTTAAAAAATGCTGAAGCTGGAGTGATGGCTCAGCCATTAAGAGCATTGACCACTCTTCCAGAGGACCCAGATTCACTTCCCAGCACCCTCACGGCAGCTCACAACTGTCTGTAACTGCAGTTCTAGGGGACCCTACACCCATGGCAAACACCAGTGCACATAAGAAAGAAATCCCTGAATCCCATGTCCACTTCCTGCTGCTGCCTCTCTCACAAGCTTCTACAGCTTTATCTTCCTCCTTGTGCTGCTCAACTTAAGCAGAATCAAGGTCTCACTCCAGACACCAACACAGGCAGTCTCTGGTGCCAGCCCCTGGGAACGCCACCTCTCACCGCATTGCCGGCTCTTCTCCTGGGCGAGACCTCACTCTGCCTCTGGTTCCTGTACTATCCTTTTGTCCTTTTCAATTAGATGCTCCTCCTGACACTTAAGCTCCCAGGTATTACTCCCAAGCACCTTCCCTTCTCACGTCATCTCCTCCCATTGCTTCAATGCTGGCCACATTCTGACCACTCCCATATTTATTCACCATTGCTCCTGACACCTCTTCTATGCTCCAGGTCTCTTATTAACATGCTCAAAAGGGAGCCCATGATCTTCCTTTATGTGTCCACAAAGGCTCCTATTCCTCGGTAAGTGCCATCAGCATTCACTTGCTGGTGCCAGAAACCCAAGAATCTTTCCTCTCCACTTCCTTATAGGAAGGTATCTCTGCTTCATCTCCAAAATGTGCCTCGCCCCCATCTATTTCTCTATATTCTTATGCCCATTGTACTTCAAGTCCTCATCATCTCAAATGTGACTCTGATCTCATCTGAACTTGATCTCCCAGTTCTCTTTCCTCCTCACACCTCTTTCCATCCAGCAGCTACAGTGATGGCCTTTTATTATAATTATCACTGCAGATTAATGACACACAGTAGCAGGCCTCACTGTGACATTTTTCTATACAGGCATACATGATAGTTTGCTCACACCCACCTTCCCCGCCAACCTCTCCCCCATCCCTTTACGTTTCCCTGGTAGCCCTTCTACTGATCTCAGGCCATCTTTTTTCTTTGTTCTAGTTCCTACATACAAGAGAAAACATAATATATTTTTATGTCTAGTTTATTTCACTTAACATAATGACCTCAGTTCGGTCGATTTCTCTGCAGGTAACATGGTTTTGTTCTTCTTTGACTGAACAACAATCCATTGTATGTACACACCACATTCAACCAGGCATAATATATTGACAAGCACTGAGGCCGATTCTGCAGCTTGGCTACTGTGAACACCTTTTAAGAATATATATCCAGTCATATCACTGCCTGTTTATAACACTTTAGTGAAGGAGTATTAATGGATCCTAAAACTGTTAGGTGAAGATTGTCAGGAAATAATCATGTGTTTCCAAATTATTATTCAAAACTAACTCATTCCAAGGTTAAAGTATACCTTTGGAGGGCACATACACATGGTTGCTACTTAGCCACATGACAAAATCTGGCATCTATATAAACAGTTGCAAGACATCCTGACATTATATACCTCCTGCTCTGGTGCAAATGAACTTCATAACACCATTGTGAGGTAGTCTCACAAAAACTTAACCTGTGTCTAACTATGCCACCATGCCTAACTTCTGTTTTATAGGAGACACAAAGAATAGTGGGAAAATTTTAAGGCTTCCACCTGGAAACGAGTTAAATCCAGAATGTGGGACACTTTTAAAGGTAAATCACTCCTCAATATGTTCAATTTGTGAAAAAGGAGTTGGGACAGAGGTATAAAAGGAATTGCACATTAAAAACACCACAGATAGTGTATTGGTTAAAGTATTGATTTCTTTTAAGGATAGCGGAATACGGGTTATCTGAAAGAATGTCTGCAGAGACACACACTGAACTATTTGGTAGTCAAGTGTGTAGTGTCGGAATGTTACTTTGGTTTTTCAGACAGGTCGCACTATTGAGCCCAAGCTGACTTTAAACTTACAGTCATCTTCCTCGGCTGCTTGAGTGCTGAGACATCAGGTGTGCACCATCAACCCACCTGCAATCTGCTCTTAAATGGTTTACTTATGTATGGGAAGATGATAAAGGAAATACTGAAAATTATATAATTAAACAAGACATATAGGCATTCGTTATATTTTAATTATTTTATATGCTTGGGCATTATGAAATAATTGTGATAAGAAAAAACTCTTCTATGACTTTTCATAAATCTTAGAATAAAACCCAAAAGCTTTTATGGTCTGCAAGGCCCTACTTCATCTAGCCTGCCTACATCATCACCTTCCTCTCTCAGTCCCCCTCCTTCCCACCCCTGCTCACAGTGAGAAATGTTCATAGACAGTTTCCAGCTGAACAATCACAGTCTTTGAATTCACCAGGACCGGTTGATGGAAGGACGCATGTGGCTGAGGAAGACTGGGTTGATAGGATAAACAATGGGATGGACTGTGAAGGAGTGTGGTAGGAAAAAGTACCTTTCAGGACTAAAGGAAAATGGGCTGGAATGACTGGGAGAGAGGGAGAAACAGAGATGAACATCTTTGAAAACTCTGCTACCTTCCATTAAATATTCACTATGTACTCTCCTAGCTTCCTGTAATTCTCATTCATAATATTTATCATGATTCTATTTGAACAGTATGTGTGCACTTATGAAATGTCTAGAATCTTCACCAACAGTAGCCTCTACTAAAGGTCAGGTCATGTTTGCTCATCACTGTGTTGCTAAAACTTTGTATAGGAGGCTGGAGAGACAGCTCAGCAGTTAGGAGTGCCTGAGAGCAGTTAACTGCTCTTGCAAAGGACCAAAGTTTGGTCCCCAGTGTCCTCACTAGATGCTTCACAACCCCCTGTAACTCTAATTCCAGGAGGTCCAATGCCCTCTTCTGGCCTCCGCAAGCACCTGTATCCATGTGCACACACACACACACACACACACACACACACACACACACACACACACACTCCATTAAAAACAAAGTATTTTGAAAACCCTAGCACACAGTAATGCTCCATGTTAGATTAATATGTGAATGGCACATATTTTTTCTTTAAATAATTGTATATGTTTATGGAGACTATGATTTCAATTCAAATATTACTCAAGAAGGAATATATCTGCTCAGATTGATATATTAAAATGGCTATTATGCTTTGTTTTCAGGGTTGATTTCGATGTTAATTGAACTTGATATGCTTTCTCAGAAGATTGATTACATATAATCATGTTTCCATGTTCTCTACATAAACAGACACGTGTCAAGCTCCGACCTCTAGAAAAGCAGTCTGTCACACAGCATTTACGTCCAGGTACATGGGCTTAGATGCCAAACACGGGCTGAGGAGACAGCTCCACAGGTAAAAGTGCTTGCCACAAAGCCTGACATGAACCAAATCGTGTGGCCCACATGGTGAAAGAATGCCCTCCCACAATCTGTCTTCTGGCTTCTACACGCATGCATGCAATGGCACACGTGCCCACAGACACACAACACATGCAAAACAATGTAGCAATAAATAAATAATTAGAACACAGCACATCAGTAACGCTGACATAGAAAGCATTTCCTGTGGGAAAATGTGTATTGAATAAATATGAATCTACCCACTCTATTAAAACAACATCTGTAAAATCTATTAGAACAATAACCCTGTTGGTGGTGGCTTTTCTCATTAATGCAAATACATATTAAATCCTAGTGGGAGGACAGAGGTGTCACTCACCTTATGCCATTAGGAGTCAGCCCTACGTTCCCTGCTCAGTGACAAAAGGAGTGAGATTACAGTGGAGAAGATAATTTGGCATATGAATGTACATAAATATCCATTTGATGATTTTTGTTTGTTTGTTTCTGGTTTTTTGAGACAGGGTCTCTCTCTGTAGCTTTGGAGCCTAACCTGGATCTCTCTCTGTAGCCCAGGTTGGCCTCAAACTCACAGAGATCTGCCTGGCTCTGCCTCCTGAATGCTGGGATTAAAGGCGTGTGCCACTGCTGCCTGGCCCATTTGATGATTTTTTTAAAATAATGTGGCTGTTATATTTCACTTTCAGGCTTCACATAGTTGAACAATAGCTGTAATTTATATAGAACTCAAGTTAGTAAAAACTGATAAGGAGAATCCTGACTCTACCTGTGTGGTTGGTAAAAATGCACAGAGAAGGCTGACTGCATAACTTCTCTTGGTCTTGATAATAATCATATCCAAAGTTGACAAATCTAAGATTACAAAGGAAAAGAAATTATTGAATGCATTTAAAAAGGTATTCTCTTCATACATGAAATAACCACTACAACCCACTCACCGAGGCAGAAAAATGTTTCTGATATATCTCAGCAGAAAATTTTTGTTTAAAAAAATGTAAAACAGTGATTAAAAATATATGTGGAACATAAAAGATATGGGCCTGGCAATAGACAGAAAATGTTATTACTTACAACATACATTTTCATAATATTTGTGACTTATAGTAAATGTTATCTAAAATATGCATATATATGTTCAAAATAGGCCCAATTAGATATCCATACATGTTTAATTAACTAAAGCTGGTCAAATACTGAATGGCTTAGGACTGTCATCACCCTAATTTTGGAAAACTTTCTTTTCTTCTGACCTTTGATGTACTCTGTTCTGTTTTACTTCTTTTTAAATTCTGTAGCTTTTTACCTCACATAAAATACTCTGTAAAAAGAAAAATCTTGCCTTTTGTGTAAAGAAGAAAACAAGAAAAAAAATAAAGCAAGAAACTGGGCTGAGTAACAAGTGGGTTGACCTGTTACCTCTTCTTGGCAGTAAGAAGCATTTTGACGTTTGATCTAAATGCACTCATGCTGACTCACAGACCCCTCTTGTAAGTCATAGGGAGACAAGCACTTCCACACACCAAAATAAATGCAGGTGCCCTACGGAAATGCATGGCTAAGAAAATCAACACAGTTGACTTCACACATGTAATCCTGTATCCATTGATTAATCAGCTTATAGTCTGTAAAGAACAGGAATATTAATAATAGATCCACAAGGGGCTAGGCAGATGGCTCAGCAGTTAAGAGCACTGGCTGCTCTTCTAGAGGAACCAGGTTTGATGCCCAGCACCCACAGGGCAGGCCACAACCTTCTGTGACTCCAGGTCCAGGGGATCTGACGCCCTCTTCTGGCCTCTGCAAAGACTGTACACACATGGTGCATAGACATATATGCAGGCTAAACATCCACACACATAAAACAAAAATAAATAAATCTCAAAATAGATGCATAAAATACCAGACTGTTCCACTATCTACCTATCACAATTAAAAGAAGATGTCATCATTTTGCTACCTATAAATGTCTATGAAATTTAACATTCTATGGATAACTTACTTAAATCCTAAGCCACTCAATGATATGTCCAAGGGCATTTCAAACTGTCAAAAAAATGAAGAGATCAGCATTAAAAATGACATTACAGGTCTTCCCTAGAGAAGAGCATATCAACTGATTGTCCAGTGACAAATGGTCAGCCCTGAAATCATGCAAATAACATTATACAGACATGTATATACACATATCATATATGCATATAATAGGTAACATTATACAGACATGTATATACATATTCATATATGCATACAATAATTAACATTATACAGACATGTATATACATATTCATATATGCATACAATAGGTAACATTATACAGACATGTGTATACATATCCATATAAGCATACAATAAGTAACATTGTAGAGACATGTTTATACATATTCATATAAGCATACAATAAAAATGAATGAAAGAAAAGGCCATGGATTTGGAGGAGAATGGGAAGGCGTATGGTTAGGGTTTGGAGGGAGGAAAGGGAAGGGAGAAATTTTATAACTATATTATAATCTCAAAGAAATTTAAGTAAAAAAATTACATGATAATGGTTGTGAAATGCAAAGCAAGCTGCCAGTGTTCGGCTGGCCTACTGATACAGAGTTCACTTAACCATCCTCTCCAAAGGCAGACCCAGAACCCACAGGGCAGGGAGTCTACTGGGAATATCTTGGTTGACAGACACATTCAGTGCACGTTTCTTTCCTACAAGGCTAATTCTGCCTTCAATGAATATCATGAACAGATTGTGTAGTAGGACAATTAACAGCCACAACCTTTTACAAGACAGACATTCATGGAAGGAAGGAAGCCTGGGATGTCTTTTGGAGTGGGTGAGCTAAAAATGGGGCAGGAAATGATAAGAAAGTCTTGTAATAGTGTGAAACCAATATGGGCTTGATACCAATATTGGTCCTGAGAAAGGAAGGAAATGGTGTCCAACCCAGATAAAGACATACACAGTGCAGTGCCTTACCATAGACAGACTAACCCCCCAACAGCTATTCCAAGGGTGACGCTAGATGCTTACTAAACTATACACTCTAACTGACTTCGTTCCTCATCCTCAAACCATTCTATTCCTGATTCCTTTTGAGTCAAATAACTTGCAACCACTTAGAGCAATCTGCTCTGGACCACATCTATTCCTTCCTCTAAGCCCCGCTTAGGGTAGTTGCTTTCAAAACATACTCTCCTATGCATCATATCCTCTTCACCTGCATCAGCTGTGCATCTGGTCTCAAGCCAGCAGAAACCAGGTTATTTGATCTTGCAAGTGACTGGCACAATTTCAAACACCAGAAATGTTGCTTATGATTTCAACTCTAGTAAAATTTCCTCAGACAGATCATTCTATGTACTTACCATTAAATTAAAGCTTTCGTCTGCCCAAAACTGGATGCATTTCAAGACACTCTTTGATTTCTAGAAAAGAAAATGCTTGATATCTTATCTCCAAAAATAAAAAGGCTGAAGAGAAAAGTAGTCAAGAAGCAGTAACAGCAAAACCTGTTTATTGTCTTTAATAAACCTTCATTGGCTGTTCCTATTAATGGTGATATAGTTATTAAAAGTACTATAGCAGAGGCTAGAGAGATGCCTCGGTGGGTAAGAGCACTGGCTGCTCTTCTAGAGGACCTGGGTTAGATTCCTGGTACACACATTATGGCTCACAGCCACCTGTAACTCAGTCCCAGAGGATCCAACGCCCTCTTCTAGCCTCTTCAAACACTGTACATACATGGTGCACAGACATACAGGCAGGTAAAACACCCATATGCATAAAATAAAAATAAACAAATCTCAAACATTTTTCAGGACACAGCAGTGATGTCAAAATTATATTGTTTCTATAGAAACAGGTACCCATGGACTAATTCTTACCTCCAGTTCAATGTAGTATACTCTCTGCTCTGACATATCCCACTGAGCCCAAATAAAATCTTCAGCTATTCTGTCTCTTAGGAGATGGCTAGAATTTCTAATTACCTAGGGACAAAATGATTTTATAAGTAAGTATTTTTAAAAATGACATCTTAAGTCTTTATTTACACATATCCTATCCCTGTGACACATGTAAATGCCCCTACTTTATTATTAGCACCTCCCCCACATCCACAACATAAATGCTTTTCCTATAAAATGTTTAAGGCATCATTGCCTCTTTCCTAATGCCCTGTGCTCTGTTCTTCTCAGCTTAACAGGCAGTTTTGCAGAGGCCACACCTTCCACAAACATGTGTACACAGAAGTTTATACCTTCCTGCTGCAATCATACCCCTTTGACCAGGTCTCCAGAGACAAAGGCTCATGATGCCAAGGGAGCACTCAGGCCTAACGGAGAGCACTGCAGAGCCCGGCTAGGGAGCACTCAGGCCTAACGGAGAGCACTGGAGAGCCCGGCTAGGGAGCACTCAGGCCTAACGGAGAGCACTGGAGAGCCCGGCTAGGGAGCACTCAGGCCTAACGGAGAGCACTGGAGAGCCCGGCTAGGGAGCACTCAGGCCTAACGGAGAGCACTGGAGAGCCCGGCTAGGGAGCACTCAGGCCTAACAGAGAGCACTGGAGAGCCTGGCGAGCTGTTCACCAACCGGTGGCTTTGGTCATGGCCTCTCCTTTACGCGTTTCACAACACATAAAGGGATGGCATTTCCCATCCATCAGCAATACTTGACTCTTACCCTTCTAGATCTGACTTGGATTGCCTCTTGGACAAAACCTCACTTCAGAATCCCTATACAAAAGCAAAGTTCCTCGGCTCTGTATTTGTGGGGCTTTTGTGTGCTTCTATTAGTTACACCTTAGGACCTTCCCAGTGAGCGTGCATCCTCCTAAGCACCTCCTGACTCTACGAGTCTTGAGTGTTTCTAGAACTTATTATTACTCAAGGACTGCTTCTAGAAATGAAGGAAGATGAAGTAAGAGCACATTAATAATGTTTTAAATGTAAAATGTCTCAAAGAACAATAGAAATTTAAAATCAAAGGATCAGGGCAGGGGACATAGCTCAGTGGGGTCCTTGCCTAACACAGGAAGCACTAACCCAGGCCCCACAAGCCAGGCCTGTGGCACATGACTATCCTCATGAGGGTCAGAAGTGTACGGTCACTCTTGGGGAAACTGAGACCCAGAGAGGCTAGATTAGGCTGTGAAGCCCAGAATCCTAACGTCTGGCACTTTTCTTTACATATCAGCAGATTTTACAATGACTTCACAGAAGGAGCTAAGAATGCATGCTCCAGAGGATGGGAGCTGGCTTGTGGGTAAAGTGCTGTCCTGTAACCCTGAGATCCTGCACTTGACCCTCAGATCCCACAGGAAAAAAAGCAGGCACAGTGCATGAGCAGACAGAGACAGGATGTCCCCTAGGACTAGCTGGCTGCTCAGTGTAGCCTCATTAGCAAGCCCCAAGCCAGCGAGAGACCCTATCTCAAAATAGATGGTATCTGAAGAATCACACCCAAGTTTGATCTCTGGCCTACACACACACACACACACACACACACACACACACACACACACATATACACACGAGCATATACACACGTACATACAAGAACACACAAACACACATACACATGCCAGCATGAACACACAAACACACCAACATACAAGCACACATCAGCATATACACAGATGCACACACACAAAACACACACCTACATACATGTGCACTCACAAACTGGGCATGGTAGTCCACATCTATAATACCAGCACTCAGGACACTGAAGCAGGAGGATCACAAGTTCCAGGCCAGACCGAGAGACAAAACAAGAACCGAACTAAAAAAAAAAGAAAAAAAAATAGAGTTTACTTTCTAAGGGCAGGGATATGGCTCAGTGGCTTAGTATGTGGCAGAGCATGTGCTTAGCATGTGAAATTCCAGGCCCAAGTCATTCTCCTCAAAATGCCTACCAAGCAAACACCAAACCGTAAAACATAAACCCTCGACCCTGAGCTGGACCTGGAGAGGAGCCTCCAGGGGTGCAGCTTCAGGCCTGAACCCTCTCCAACCAGAAAGGAACTTGTCGGTGCTGCCGGAACTCAGGTGAGCACAGCGCAGGGCCCACACGGCGCTGTGTCTGGCTCTCCTGGGTCCACACCACTGGGCCGTGGGAAGTGATGCCAAGGACCCCAGGGCACCTGTCAGTGCCCTCTAACTCCACCTGTCTCTACTTGTATGAACTCTGGGTCGGGGGAACAGGCTTGGGAATCTTTTCAGCCAAAGCCGTGGGACAAAATGAGCGTCGGATTCTGGCCTGCCCACGTCCCTCTGGGGTGACCTCACTTAGGGAGCGGCGGTGGCACTGTGTCATGTTTGGTGAAGAGTGGAATTACACACCGTATAGGAGCTGCCACCAAAGCCGCCCCGAGTGTGGGCAGAAGACTCTGGCTGGGCCGTCCTGGTCCCCGTGCTGTCGGGCAGCGGGAGGAGCCGCCGTCTCGCTCTCCCCACAGCACCATTGGCTCCACATCTTCCCACCCGTTCACAGCCGCAGCTCACTCCCATCTAACGTGTGCTTAACGCCTCCATGTTCTCATAGCTGCGTCCGGATCTGCCCATACACACATATACACTCACACATACACACACACATATACATACACTCTCAAACATACCACAAATCACCATAAATAAGTGTAAAAAATTGAAGGTTATCTCATAGACTAAACATTGAATAAACCATTTTAATAGCTATATCTATTCAGAGCTCATAAAAATTCTCAAGTAAAGGTAACCAAGTAGAAAAACAGATAAGGATATAATCAATAAATTTTCCTAATAGCAAATTTAAATAGTAATCAGAGAAGATGCCCAAATTCAATAAACAGTGAAAGAAATACAGACTAAGCTGGCAGTAGGATTTCACACCCATGACATCGGGAAATGCTGAAGGTAAATTTACCTGATACTCTTGCACTTCCCAAAACTAGGTTTTGGGGAAGCAGCTAGCAGACCCTCCTGAAACTTGTTAAATGCATATCCCACCAACCCAGTCATCCATATCTGAGGATTAAGGCCAAAGAAATGAAGGTATCAACGTGTAAACGTGTAAACACAGGTACAACATGTAAAGGTCCAAACACAGCAGACTGGCTGAAACATCACAGACACACTGCCAAGGACTACCATGCACTTCCTCAGAAAATAAACTGAGGCTATTCTAGCTGGCTTAGAGACATCTAGAGATAATTATACACATGTTAATAATAAACCAAGCCAGAGTTTATCACAAGTGGAGATAAATGTGGAATAAACATAAGCTTATAAACATGGAGAAGAATATGGACATATGCCGGACCAAGGGAGGGTGGTAGAGTACAGAAGTCATGGTCCTATCTGCGATACGTGTGCATACGTAAACGTTAGAGACAGATCAGTAGTTATTTTTCTACTTGCTAACCTAAGTAAAATAGCAAACACAAAGGCAGACATTAAATTACACATTATGATTCTATTTGATACAAACAATTGATTTCCCCTGTGTGTGTGTCTAACCTTGGACAGGTGGCAAAAGCAAGCAAGACTGTGGAGAGACTCAGGGCCCACTGGGTGTGAGGTAGAGAGGAGGGTCCCTAACCCCTCCACACATCTTTATTCTGCTTCACATGTTCTAACAGAAAGGCTGTCATTCAAAAGACATCAAAGAAATGTTTCGTGTCAATGGAGTTCATCTGTCTTTAGAAGCCAGAGACATAGACCCTCCTAGAAGAGAGTTCTGAAGGAAAAGGATTTCAATCTTTACCACTCTGTTTCCATCTTCTCTTGTGATCTGGATATGAAACCGATCAATATCTTTAAAAAATAAACCAAAAGAAAGATATTTTACCATTCAGGAAAAACCATCAGTGCTGTTCTTCTAACAGCTACACAGGGATCCTGCGACACTTCCAAGCCCACCGCTCTCCCCTGCTGACAGTGTGTTCCCAGACCCACATTTACTTCTCTCCTTAGTGTTATAATCCATGAAGCATATAGCCCTCTGCTGCCTTGCTTCCCTCCACAAGTGTTTGCCACTCTTGTATCATCAGTCTTAGATACGACTAACAAGAGTCTCAGTAGTGGGGTTCACCTCTAATTTCCATATATATATATATATATATATATATATATATATATATATATATATATATATATATATATTAATATAGGTAGAAATGCAGATAGATAGATAGATAGATAGATAGATAGATAGATAGATAGATAGATAGATAGATGATAGATAGATATAGATATGAGGTATTTTTAGGGACAACATCACATGAACAAAACCTGTAACACTTTAATTCAATTTGTAGTAACAGTAACAATTTAGGTTTAGTCACACTTATATTCTGCTGGTTCTAATTACAAAACAAAATGTGGTACCAAAAATTGAGCCAAAACAAAGAAACTAAACATAAATATAATGCAACCTGTCCTTCCAAACGCAAGTCAACCCATAGTTTCACCTCACAACATGAAAGCCTGCTTGTTGGTAAGTACCAGTGGGTTTTATCTGCACTCCTTCCCAAATCTGAAAACATCTTGAAAGGCCATAACCTCTTGCATCACTTCTGCTTGAGTTTGGTCATGGAACTGTGTGCTTTAGATCTGCCCGGAATTCTTCTAGCAACCAAGCCTTTCCTTCCTTCTCTCCACCCCAGCCCCTTAGCCTTGATCACAGTCACCCACTCTGACAGGCAGGCATCTTCAAGGAAACAAACAGTGTAACTGTTGTACAAGTCAACAGACTGGACATGTATGTGTACACGAGCTATTCCTTTCCCAAGACAAGGAAACTGAGCAGAGGTTCAGAAAAGCTCTCACAGGAATTCTAGGTCTCAAATGGACATCAGAGGTAAGCAGACCCTTGGCAATGGTAACGGTATCCGGCCGATTCAATAGACTTCCCCTTTCACTAGGAGACTGTGTGCACGCACCCCTGTACATTACCCAAAGAGACACTTACATTTCTCTTCTGAAATCAGTAACAGGTGGTTCTGTAGAAGATGACTTTCAACATGTGGGTAGAGGAACTGTCGAAAGGGAATCGTAAAAAACATAAGCAACTATTTTGCTTGTACTGGTACTTCGGTAGTTGTTTGATTACGGTTACTGCTACATGCTATGCAAGGAACTGAGAACCACAGAATATTTTAGGGGAATCACATGTAGACATGTCAAAGGTCAAGCAAGTAGAGGAAGGAACCCCTGAGGATCTCAGTTTTCTAGGGGAGGTTGACACCAGGTACAACTTTATCACCATTCTTCTGAGCACAGACAAAGGGGGAGTGCCTCCAGCGATGATGCTTCCTGTTTGCAATGTTTGATTCCAAGCCAGTCAGAAGCGATGCAAATGACATTCATACAATATGTTTTATGTCACACAGACCAAGTGGGGTCAGTACATTAATTGTGAAACTAAGCCTAGTATATGATTGAGAACCACATAAACACAGTCCCTGCTGCAATCTCCAGACTCCCACATCTGAGACACAAAGAACAAAGTCACCAGGGACTTTCCAAGAAAGAACAGGGAGTCATGATGTGGCAAATGGTTAGAAGTCAGGCCAGCTGCCACTGGGAAGAGAAGGCTTGAGCAGCAGGACACCGCCAGCATGCTCTCCACTGGGTGTCTGCCCACGGCATGAGGCTGACCCTACCGGCTGTGATAATGAAGGAAAACTGGCATGAGACGGTGCCAGCGCTCAATCCTTTCATCGTCAGAAGAGTGGCAGACAAGAAGCCAGCCTTTTCATATTAAAGCAGCTTACTAGGAGTTATACCAGTGCGTTTTGTTCCCTGGCACCTAAAAAACTTAAAACATTATAAAAGGACGTAACTGTTTATGGCTCAGTTTCATAGACACTGGATTTTCTATTATTGTTGCCTTTACTTTCCATGATAGACCAGAAGTAGGACAGATCCATTTCTTCAAGTAATCACTGTTGAATCTCCCTCTAGAACTGCAGAGCAAACCACTAGCTGTATGACATTCTTCTCAGCAACAACCCTAAAATTACACAATAGACAGCAATATAGAATTTGGCTACAAAAGTAATACAGAGTTATTATTAATGACTTCTAGAGTGTGTACAGATAAGACGCCCTGCACAATGGAGCTGTTGAAAGGTCTGAGGTGAACAGCACCACACATGTGACCATAGAGCTCAGGGCTTCAAGACAAGGAGCTGTCTCTTAAGAAGATGGTGTGTCCAGGAAGAATGTGTCAGCCTCCTTAAGAGTTAATCCAGGTGGATAGGTCCATGACCTGGCCGAGGGTGCCCCTCAGAAAGGAAGGACCAGCCCTAGAAAAGCAGGCTCACTTTAAGCCATGCTAAAGAGATGGGTGGAACAACCATCCCTTAAATGAGAGAAGGTACTTTACTTTCCCAAATGCCTGCCCCCAGCACAGTCTCTTACAGAGCCACAGACATGTTTTCCTTTTCTTCTATGTCTTCTCCTGGCATGCTTACCCTAACAGGTTGGGCTCTCTAATAATCCGAACATCACTCCCCATCATGTGACTGCTGCTACCGTGCTGATCTCCATGACGGCTCAACTGAAGTAGTGAAGCTGTTTTCCCCTTCTCTCCTCCATTCTCCTCTGGATAGCCACTAAGAGCTATAGTTTACCTGCCCTGGTATGTTTTTCTTCTAAACTCTAATAAAATTATCCTTGAACTTTAAAAAAAATAGGGAGAGGAGGAGGAGGCTTCATAATGTTTGCAGGAGCAGCATGCCTGCGTAGGACAGTGAGGGACACAAGAGCCAGGACTGCTGATCTGTGAGCCTGTCTGGTCTTCACATGCTACCATGAGAAGTGATTTTATAAGACCCGTGGTGGTTATCTTCTGACACTATGAGGTGGCCCTAGAGCAAGGCCTGAAAATTAAAACACAGCCTTCAAATACAGCTACTTTTAGGACAGCTCTCTGGCATTCTAAATCAATCCACAGTAAGTCTATGCAGTCACTGTGCAGTTAGGGAAACAGCTTCACAAATGCAGTGAGACTGAGAATCTGTCCTGGATGGAGTGTAGGTGTGTGGAAAGGTGTGTCTCTTGGTGTACCTCAGGCAGGAGGGAACTCTCAAGGGGTGACATGTGAGAGGACTTTCTACTGTAGTTCCTCTGACATTGGTGACCAAGACTGCCAGTGCAAATAGGTAAATGTATGACTGTAGATGGCTGATTTAAAAAAGGAGACAGAACACAGTACAGACCAGACTTGGTGGACTGTGGAGGGGTGCATCTCTGCCAGGGAGAGGGACAGAGCAGAAGGTAAATGTGCCATGGGTGGAGGCTTGAGGTCCTCACCTCTAGAGGTGAGGGTATTAGGAACAGGGGTAGGACAAGGAGCTGGGATGGGCCCAAGGAATGGGCATGGGGTTTATTTCATTTGGGTGGAGACATTTGTCTTTGGCCAATAAATATAGCTATGTATTATGTACTTTTAATTAATTCTAGCTGAGACAAAATTCATATAACAGGAATTTCACCATTTTAACCACTTTTCATGATTTCCAAGTAGCTTTTAATCTATTTGCAACATTGTATAACCATATACTTATAAAAGCTCTTGTGGGACCTGATGGTGTACGCTTTTAACCCAGCATTCTTGAGGCAGAGGCATGGCTCTCAGTTCAAGGCCAGCTTGTCTACACAGCCTGCTGCAGGCCAGCCCATGCAGCACAATGAAAGACAACAAAGCACTCTCTTCTGCCCCAGCTCCCTTTATTGTCCTCATCCTTTAATTTTGTCACGATCATTCACCCTGCCTGGGTGCGAATGTTGGGAATCCAAAACCAAGCCAGGAAAGGGAAGTGTGCTCTGCCTCACGGCCGTCCACACACTGCAGCAGTGCAGAAGAGTCAGTTCCCAGAGAGAGAAACAGCTTCCAGGCTGGGGCCTGTCTGCAAGCAACAGGAGGGCTAGGCAAACATAGGGTCAGAAGAACCGATAGGAGGGGAGTGGAGGGGAGGGGGGAGGGGAGGAGGGAGGGGAGGGCGGGGGGGGGGGGGGGGGGGGGGGGGGGAGATGACCCTCCCCTGACACAGGGAAGAGGCAGCTCATTGGCTGCAGGTTGGTGTTGTGGAATATTATTTTAAGATATGTTACACTTGTTTATGTTGTGGAACATTTGTTTAATGACACAAAGATGTGTTGCATTTTTTCTTTTTAAATTTATTTCATGTGCATTGTGTGAAGGTGTCAGGTTCCTGGAACTGGAGCTACAGACAGTCATGTGCTGCCATGTGGGTGCTGGGAATTGAACCCCAGCCCTCTGGAAGAGCAGTCAGTGCTCTTAACCACTGAGCCTTCTCTCCAGCCCTGTGTTGCATTTTTTTATGTTGCATTTGTTTAACTCTGTGAAGCTGTGATTTTGCCTGTCTAAAACACCTGATTGGTCTAATAAAGAGCTGAACGGCCAATAGCAAGGCAGGAGAAAGGATAGGTGGGGCTTGCAGGCAGAGAATAAAATGAAGGAGAAATCTAGAAGAAGAAGATCAAGGAATGAGAGAGGAAGGAGGAGGACTTCAGGGGCCAGCCATCCAGCTACACAGCCAGACACGGAGAAAGAAGTAAAGAAAGCTATACAGAAGTAGAGAAAGGAGAAGGCCCAGAGGCAAAAGACAGCCGGATAATTTAGGAAAGCTTGGAAGAAACAAGCCAAGCTAAAGCCGGGCATTCATGAGAAAGAATAACCTCCATGTGTATTTATTTGGGATCTGAGTGGAGGGTCCCCAGAGAATAAAGAGTAGTAAAACAACTACAGTCTGGGGCTGAAGCAGATACTACAGGAGAGATTAAGAGACAGCAGAGCGTAAAGTTAGGCACGGGAAATGATGCTCTAGCACGTTTGTGTGTAATCAACCCTCGCTTTGGTAACCACCAAGGACCCTGGGTACTGAATACTAAACTTGATCACAGGCCAAACAGGTTAGGTTCCTACAAACCTCTGTTCACACTCTTGTAAACAGATGAATATATACTCTTGTCTGTGTGTTTCTGTTGAAATACACCTCATGTCACACATCTTATTGATTCATTAACTTTGAGCTTATGGCCCGCAGATCAATAACATACCTGAATAAAGCTTATTTAGTTAACACACACGTTACTGTAAGACACATCACAACCTTTGTATTCTTAGAAACACTAGACAACACTTCAACAAAACACTGGGATGTCATTTTAGTCACATCACAAGAAAAGCACAAAAGTTAAAAACCCACGGCACTAGGTAGTGAACACCTCTTGTCTACAATGTAAGCATGGAAACAAGTCAGAGCATCACCTCAGCTGGGGCTGTACAAGCAAGTGACTCACCCGCTCAGCAAATGCCTAGCCAAGTGCCATAAGTGGTAATTTTGAACTGCAAATAAGCCTTCATAAGCACAAGAATGCACACATGTGGATGGAATCTCCAAATAAAAAATGACTTGTCCACCCACATTATCCACAAACTGCTTCTGTAGCAATTCATGCTGTTACTAAAGTCAGGAATTTACTATCATTAATCAGATAATTAGTCTGTCAACCAGGTGAATATGTGAAATAAACAATTCTAAAGCTTACCACAGAGTTATTTTATTATATGATGTTTTATCATGTGAAAACCTTGCCTTACAGGCATAGCAGAGCTGAGACAGCCGGGTCTGAGTTCTTGTCTCCATGTTTACAAGGGAAGCACTGAGGCTTGCAGCCTTCACATCTAGAACTCTGCAGCCTTCACATCTGGAACTGTGCTTGGAGGGTCAAATGAGCTAATGTGTGTGAAAGCACTTTGTAAACAAGCCCTTCCTCCGTAGAGGTCACACCTTCTGATTAATGAGACAAGTGATAGGTGGCAGGCTTGCTTACCTGTACCCAAATACAGCTCTCCACTGCTTTCAGAACCTTCACATTGTTGACAGGATGAATTTCAACCAGCAAAGTTAAGCACTTTGATCCTACAGAGAAAGGGAGGATTTCAGTCATAACAACAGGGATAGCACACATTCTCTTTTCTCAAGCAACCATGAAAAAGAATGCCTGGTGTCTCAACTTACAGCAACTGTGGGTTAACAGAACAATTCTACCATCATCATGATGTCTCTTGGGGTGACATTAAACTAATTCTAGTCCCCAGTTCCTTTCTTTGGGGCTATGTGTGGCCCAGTGGCTCTAAAGGAGCAATCGACCCGCCTTCCACATCCTTCCACACCTGAGAGAAGCTGCTTTCGAGCCAGTCACAGAACGCCCATGTTAAAAGCGAAGGCTTTGAGAGCCCTGGGAACAGCAGCAGGCACTGGGGAAGGGAAGCACCGTATTGACAATGCAAATGGTTTCTATGGGTGCTGTCACTGTGCACCCCTGACTGTACAGGAGCATGCCTGACACGTGACCTCCAACAGGTCCCCCTCCTCCTAGACAGCATCATTTGCAAATAGGTGCAGCTGGGTTTTGAAAGTGTGTGTTTCCTACTACATCAGCTATTTCTTAATTTTCCTAAGGTTTACTAGGACATTTCTCACACTCACAATCGGGCCATAGGTATGTAACTCAGTGGTAGGGCAACTGACGGGACGCGGGAGGCTTTAGTTTTCATTACCAAAAATGAAAAAAAAAAAAAAAAAAAGATAAAGAACCCACAATGAAGCAGAGGTCAACGTGCCTGCAGTGAAGCTATTTTTAGCACAGCTCCATAGACTCTCTGGCTTCTAGGTCTAAATCACCACAGAAAGCCCCCACTCACTGTCTGCCCAATTCTGCAGCACAGTGGCAGCCAGTGTGTGTGAAAATATAAAGATATTCTGGTGCGCATGTATCATGGCTGACAGTGCCTACCAGTAGCACATAATCTCAATTCCCCAAGAGCAATGGAGGAGCACAGCCAACAGCTGGCTTGGTCCTGATGTCCTTTCTGAGCAAATGTCATAAAAGCAGTTAGGAGTCAGTCTGTGGCCAGGGGCTGGAAGGGGCCTACCACAGATGTCCAAATTTAGGTCAGAGGCTCCCCTCCCAAGAGTTAAGTTCTTATGACTCTAATACAGTTAGGTTCTCCCTCAATTACTGTATTGGGAATATTAATGCACAATTTGGGGATCACACAGCAGTCTGGAATCAACCAGTTTTCATTTCTTAAGAGTCAACCGGGCACATTAGCCAGTTTCCGGGATATGACCTAACAAATTATGAGTCCTGGGTATTTTTATAAAAATGTCTTAACGATCCCCAGAGGGGAAACTGCTGAACCCAGCGGCACTCAAAATGGGAACTTCCTGGTTCTGGTGACTGCAAGGCCAGCTGCAGTCCTGGAGCTAACAGGCAGAGTGGCTTGCAAGGTCCTGGCCTATGGGGTCGGCCTGAAGGAGGAGCAAGCTGGCGCTCACACCTGTGACCAGGGGCGGAAACTCAGGGCACGAGGGCCCCTCACCCTCCACCCCCACCGCCAGAGGCAAGGCCGGAGAGCCTGTCACCTGCCAACAATGTGGTTCTTGCAGGAAAGAGAGCACGCTACTTTACTGCAGCCCTGCAGGACCAGGCAAGGCTGCACCGTCCGCTGCCCCTGCGGCCACGTCTGACTTCCTCATCTGTAGGTGGATGGTTGCGCTTTTCTTTGCTTCTCTGTTCTGAGAGGTCTCAAGCAGAGCAGGCTGATGATCTTCAATTCAGCAATGCTGAGGGTGGCCTCAAATTCCTAATCCCTCTGCTGGTACCTCGGGAATGCTGGGATTACAGGAGTTTACTTTGTTTCACTTGGCATGCTTTCGATTCTGCCCTGGAACTCCTGCCTCACCTTCTAGGATGCTCGGCTACCTACCCAGTGTTGTGAGATTGGTTTTGTTTGGGGGTGGGGGGGGTCTGTGGGAGATTGTCTTTCTTTTAACATCATTTTATTTAGTGTCTTTAATTTTTCTGTTTTGGATTCCCCACCCCCACCCCCTTTTTTTTGGTTTTTCGAGACAGGGTTTCTCTGTGTAGGTTTGGTAACTGTCCTGGATCTCGCTCTGTAGAACAGGCTGGCCTCACAGAGATCCGCCCAAGTGCTGGGATTAAAGGCGTGTGCCACCGCAGCCCAGCTTTTTTCCCTCCTTTGAGGCAGTTTCTGGCATCACCTTCCCCGGAGCTCAGTAGGTTTATTGTTACCTACTAATGCTTTCTCACACAGCTTGTTACAGACCAGTTGGGTATTCGTTTCTATCAATGGCAGATTGATAAAAAGTATTATTAGAAACTAAGAAAATGCCTTGAGGGATTTGAGGAGATGGTTCAGTGTGCAAAGTGCTTGCTATGAAAACCTGAGGAACTGAGTTCAGATTCCAAACATCGCATAAAATAGTCAGACATGGCAGTGTCCACCACTCCAGGAGTAAGTCCAGAGTGAGACAAGCAGATCCGTCTGGCTCACAGGCCAGCCAGCCTGGCCAGTCAGTGAGCTCTGGGTTCAGTGAGCGATCCTGTCTCAAATAGAGTAAGACAGGGAGCAACAGTAGAAGGCACCTGATACTAAAGCTGTCTTCCACACACGTTCACACTCCACACACGCACACCTATCCTTCTGAACACACTGATCACTTGAAAAGGCAAGACAGCAGGAGAGCTACTATGTTGAATCACAAGTATAAAACTAAAGAAATGTTTGATGAGTACTCCAAGTTTCTGACAAAACTAAACAGCCAGTGACAGGGCAGGACAGCAGTTGACAGAGGCTGTACTCCTGCTGGCTGGGATGCAAACAAAGGCGAGTGCTCTAGTTCATTCTGTTGCTGCGACAAATACTGTGACCAGAAGTGACCTGAGGGAGGAAAGGTTTGGGGGTTGGATTTTTGTTTGTTGGATTTGGGGGGGGGCGGGTGTTTGCTTTGTGTTGTTTTGGCTTATACACCTAGGTCACAGTCCATCATTGAGGGAAGTTGGGGCAGGAAGCAGGAACTTAAGCAAGAACTTGAAACAGAAACCACCGAAGAATCTGCTTGCTGACGTGCTCAAAGGCTCACGCCTACCTAGCTTCCTTACACAGCCCAGAACCACTGCCCAGGGAGTGGTGCTGCCCACAGTGGGCTGGGCCTTCCACATCAATGAACATTCAAAAGAATTCCCCTCAGACACATCCACAGGTCAACCTGACTCAGACAGTTCCTCACTGAGACTGTTTCCTCAGTGACACAAGCCGTGTCGCTGGCAGTGAGGTGCTCTGGAAATCTGCATGATGTCTAAAACACGGCTCCAGGAGTAAGAGAGATGTGGGCGTCAAAGACAGTCAAGAAGAAAAACAGAACAAAAACAGGAGGGGAAAGCAGTTTTCCCTACTAATATCTATGTTAAATATGTACAACCAAATTACTACATTAGATAATACAAATGGATAGCCAATTACCTCTTATAAAATTCACATATTCTAACTGCATGAAAAAGCCACAGTTTGGGGAAACTCTCTAAGGAAAAATGAGGACTCTCCTTAGACTCGGCTTTTACAGCATGAATTTATGTATGTACAAATAAAATAGCCAACTGCCATCTAAAGTTTCTTTATCTTCCTCCACTACCCCCACCCCCCATTCAGCACAGGCCAGGCATTCAGCTAGGACAACCACCATAACGGTGGGAGTCAACCACCACGGACAGGAGTGTCTCTTAGGAACATGCCATGTGCTTCACAGCGGAGCTCTTGAGCCAAACCACAGCTCTGTGGAATACTTATCTGTCCCTAGTGGTATGGAGACTCTGAGAAGTTCAATGACGGTGGGGTCCGATACAAGTGGCCACCCCAGTTGCTGCCCAGGGGGATCTATTGTGTCTGGTAGTAAATGTAGCTTCAGCCTGGGCCTCTTCCTATGGAAGGTCATTTTCTAAACAAACATTACCTATACTATAGCCAAGGAGAGGGGGCTGATGATAAAAGTTGACTGTAAAGTGGGTGGATCAGAGAATCTTTTACTTGAAATATGTTACAGTTTGTTTCTTTTGCAATGGGAAAAAAATCTCATTTTAAACAGTAGAATGTTAGATAACACTTTGCAAAAGACTACATTTTTTTTTAATAAAATGACTTATAAGGTAGGCATTCATGAGCAGACAAAAGAAATCTTTCCAATATATCTGTTCAAAGGACAAAACATGACGTTTTCTATGGTACTTTCTGGTTACATCGTTTTTGAAATCTCTTTCTTAGAGTGAAGGGTGTTTTGAGACAGGGTTTCCTATAGGCCCCAGGCTAGCCTTGAAGACATTCTGTAGCTGAGGATGACTCTGAACTCTGGTGAACTCTGGATCCTCCTACATCTACCCCTTAAGGTCTGGGACAGCAAGGGGTGTTCCACCAAGCCCAGCCTGATTCTAAAATCTTAACTGAACAGAAAGAAACCTTCCAAGGTGATGACTGGTGATTCTCAAAAGTATTTCTCCAAACCTGGCTTCCTCTCACCTCAAATTCTGACTCATATTCATCCCTACCTTACATCTCACATCTCAGACTGATAATGCACAAAACCAAACACTTCCTCCTACTCCTGTTCACACACACACACACACACACACACACACACACACACACACACACACACACTTGTTCTGGGAGGAAAAAAAGCTGAGTTATTCTCGACTTGTTCTTTTTCTCATGTGCCAATCAAATCCCGAAGGTAATCTTGACAAATCTGTTTTCTAAACATGTCCAGATGCAACCCTTAGCCTACATGATTCCCTTTTTGCTCATAGAGAAGGTCAGGTCATTCCAACGGTTTCTACTATGAAGACAGCCACCCTGCACCTCACCTCCTTTTTTTCTCTGACTTCCATTTCCTCCACCTCATCTCACGGTCCTGTCGCTCTCTGAAAACAGTGACTCTACAAAATCTAGTCTAGTCTTGCTCTGTCAGAAATGTAATTCCCATTCTCCTCTTTCAGGTGCCTGTCCAACCATGCCCCAGTAGTATTTTCATGACAAATAAACTAAAAACACCAGATTCTCCGCCTCAGATGCTGCTTCCAGTGAAATTCAAACTAAGGCCAAAAGTGACCTCAGGGGACAGGTCCACTCTAGCCCTGAGAAGTTTGCCTGAGGGAGTGGAGACTGGGGACTGTATGCCAAAGGCCATAAACGCAGTAGACATGAAACATTAGCACATTAGTGGCCACCTGGAATCTTAACCTTCTTGAGAGCACCTCAGAATCATCCCTTTTCAGACTGGAAATGGGGGATAATTTCCCTTCAGCTCCCTGATACTCACTCACTGGTCGTGGGCTGCCCTATTGTGCATACATCCACACTCCCAGGCTGTAATATAGACAACAGAGTCTTCCAATGATCCTGAGCCAAAAGCAAGAAGTTGGTAAAGAAGCAGAGAGGGAATGTTCTAGAATTACACCTGGACAAATCTCATTCTCACCTCAGTGATAGGGATAAAAGGTGAGTTAGGACACAAAGCTACTTTGTAAGTGGCATGATAACTAATAATATTCAGGCTAATGTTTTTAAAGACACAAGCAAGCAATCTCACCACAGGTGCCCAATCCAAGGCTAAGCAAGCATATCTGAATAAGATGCAATCCTACACCAAGTAAAACTTTGAGTTTTCTCTGGGAGTGCATTTTATAACACATCAAGGGCTGACTATTGCTAGGCATGATACTGACGCAGAAATGATGAATATCAAGTAAAAACTATAGTTGCTCTGAGTTTCCTGGCAGAATAGAACTTTTCTCTGACTCAAGGTCACAAGGAACAAGAAGAAGCAGACCACACAAATCCACAGTGTGAGGATTGGCCTCACCAGCTTGGAGCTGCAGCAGTAACCTTGCCTTCCCAGGACAATGGAGTACATCAGATCAGCCCTGTGTCCTGTTTTGTTCAAACCCTTGTTTAGGGGTCAGCATCCCAATGTTCTAGATCCCACCCTACATAATCCAGTCCAATCCGGTCCCTTGAGGCGAGCATTGCATCAAACCCCAACAGCAGTAAAGAGTGTAAGGGAATGAGGAGGAGGCCGGCAGAGAGAGGGACCAGTGGTCATAGTTCTCTACATGTCATTGAAGGTGAAAGTCAGAGTAAGTAGGAATGAGATTTCAGAGAAGACATCTAGCCCACCAATGTCTCACAAAAGCTCTTCTCAGGCTCAGCTCCAGTTCCCCTCAGAGGCCCAGCACAGCCTTGTGAGCCTCATGTGGAAAGTATGTACCAAGGGTTTTAAGGGTTTTTCCATCACACGCGACCACAGAATACATCCGATAGGAACTGTGCAAACAAAAGAAGGAACCAAGCGCCAAGTAAACAGCAGAGGGAAAGCACCTGGGACAGGGCAGCAAGGGCCCAAGTCAGGCCCTCTGAACCGGACTTGAACACTGGCAGTTCACAGGTTGCTTCCGGCCCACAGGTGGCTATTGCCGCTGGGGCAAAGTCTTAAAAACCAGTTGCGCCAACTTTTATAAATTAGATTTTTACATAAAAGTCCAGAGTTCTCAACAAATTGCAAAGCTGGTCCCAGTGGACTTAACTGCCCTTTACAGGAACAAAAATCTAAGAAGTGGCTCCTCCTGGATTCCCCAGGAGTCAAGATCCTGTACCCATCACCAGTCCTTACAGCTGTTGAACACCTCTCATTAAACAACTGGAGTGTTTCTCTGTTTCTGTGTTAAAACTGGAAACAACAAGGCCATTGGGATGGCTCAGCAGGAAAGGCACCTGCTGCCGAGCTGACCACCTAAATTCAACCCCAGGACCCGTGTGGTGTGAGGAGAGAACCAGCTACCCTAAGTTGTCCTCTGACCTCCACACACAAGCCCATATACATACAGGAACACAAAATAAATAAACAAAATGTAATGGAAATATTTAACAATGGAAACAATAAAAACATCTCATTTTTCTTTTTTATGTGGGTATGTATCTGTACAAGTACACATGTTAAAGTGTACATGTGAAGGCCAGAGGTCAAACTGCTATTTCTCAGGCAGCATCGCTTGTTTTGTGAGACTGGGTCTCTCATTGGGCTGGGAATGGCCAAGCAGGCAAAGCTGGCTGGTCAGTGAGCCCCAGGGATGGCCTATCTCCACCTCCACAGCACTGAGATTACAGGCGTGCACCATCATACCTGGCTGTTTACATGGATTTTAAAGATTGAACTCGAGTGTGGTTGACATATTGTGCACCCCAATAAACTTATCTGGGGTCAGAGAACAGAACAGCCACTAGATATCTATATCAGGAAATGGTGGCACTCACGCCTTTAATCCTTTCACTTGGGAGGCAGAGTTCCATCCGGATCTCTGTGAGTTTAAAGCCACACTGGAAACAGCCAGGCATGGTGACACACACCTTTAATCCCAGGAAGTGATGGCAGGAGGCAGAAAGGTATATAAAGCGTGAGGACCAGGAACTAGAGCTGGATAAGCTTTTAGGTTTTTGAACAGCATGGTTCAGCTGAGACTCATTCTGGATAAGGACTCAGAGACATCCAGTCTGAGGAAACAGGATCAGCTGAGGAATTAGCAAGGTGAGGTGGCTGTGACTTCTTCTGCTTCTCTGATCTTCCAGCATTCACCCCAATAACTGGCACTGGTTTTGATTTTATTAATAAGAACTTTTAAGATTCATGCTACACTCGGGTTCTCATGCTCACACAGCAAAGCTTCATGGATTGAGCTATGCTCCAAGCCTGACACTTCATTTTCCTCCCACCAAATCTATTTATTTATATGGCCTCTGGCCACTGTGAACATTTGTACTTGAAGCCTGGTGCTAGCTTGGAGGCTCCATGAAGGTAGCCACCCAGCTCACCACTTTCCAGAAATTCTGTCTGTGGTACTTTACAGGGGCCTGACCACACGCAGTCAACACTGTTGAGCTATGGGGCAGGAGGATGACACAGAATGCTCTTTGAAATTTAAAAAGCAAAAGGTTACACATGGCCAATAAACATGTGTACAAAGTAGGTTTGTGTAAATGAACAGATCTGTGTTTTATTTTGTATTTTTGAACTATCCACAATGCTTTAGAGATTAATTGATATTTCACCAGACATTTTTTAAGTAGTACTGTAAGTTTCCCTACTTTTGCATTAGCTTCTGGCCATGGAAGCCAAGTATAATCTTGGCATTTATTTAGTCTTCAGGTGCTAATTATTATCTCGTTTTTTCTACAATTCTCATTATATTATTTTTCACACCTTCTTGCCTACTTGAGAAACAAAATTTAAAGTCTTGCTTGTGCGTAAATGGCCACAGCCTTTCTATTCTAAGATAAAGGCACTTCTAAAAGGCTTGAAATTTGACTTAGTCCAACAGATCTTTATCTATCAATACATATGAAAGAAGAATAATTCCATCACCTGGCTGAAGCTCATTCCTTACTCCTTCTTTAGTATACTGAATGAAACTTGCAGCTAATGGAAAAGAAAAAAATCAATTAGCAACTGATACACACGGGCAGCTTGTTCAAGTTTAGCATTTTATACCTGGAATACATGAGATCTGTCACTATAACACTGTAGACAAATGCAAACCATTAATTCCTATAGCTGTGCCCTACAGCTTCTCAATTTCAAACTTGATTTACCTAGAACATGTATTTTCTGGAAAGTTGTCATTATAATCAAATATTGCAAAATCCAAAATGCTTCACCTTAAAAGATGCAGTTTTAATGTGCAGCAATGAGCTCTCAACTCACCAAGCAAGGTTCTCTCACTGTTGACAGAGCAGCTGACAGCTTGCATGTCCTTCTCAAAGGTGTACAGATGCTATTAAAACAACCAAACAAAGGAGGATTATAGTAAATAACAACTGTATGGAGATAAATCCTATTAAACTTTATACCAAACATTGGTTAGCAAAGCATTTCCTAAAGAACCGTCAGTGAACTAGTCTATGCTGATATAGTCTGGATTATTTTTCAGGGAAAATGTTTAATATTTTATGCCACATTTAGCACTGAAACTTAGCTATGAGACAACCAAACAGCATGGTTCAAAACACCAACTTTGAAACTAAGCTAGACCCATGGTCAAATCCTGACTGTTGTTTTCCAGCTCTGCGACTTTGGACACATTATTCAACTTATCTATCCATCAAAATTAGCATAGGACTATAACATGTATCTTGTGTTATTATGAGCACTCAGAAATACTAGAGTGGTATGGCCAAAGCATCTCCTGGGGTTATGATGAGGATCAAGAGGGTCAACGCTCACAAAGCACTTAGTACAACATAGGCTGTCATAATGCCACTCAGATGCCAGCATTGTAAGATGAGGTGAGAAAGGCTTTAATCAGATTACACACTTGACCATGATCCCATTGGTTGTGCCACAAGTGGATCTCATAGTTAAAGAAGTGGCTAAGAAATCTTCCATTACTTAATCTTTTCTTTTTTATGAATGTTTGAAATGTTCAAACTATCAGGAGAAGCCAGTCATGATGTGCTCACCAGTAACCCCAACCATCCAGAGGCTGAGCAGAAGGGTGACAGGTTGGAGGCTGTCCTGGACTGTGTAGTGGGACCCTGTCAACAACAATGGGAAAAACCAAAAGATTCCATCTCATCGATGCTAAGGAACATGGAAACAGTCATGCAGATGGAAGATGTTAAGGACTGAGACTTAAGTGTGTCACCCCGTCACCATGGGAAGCAGCTACCAAAGGAGAACTTTGAGTTGATATGAAGGCACTAAATTTGGGGCCAGAGAGATGGCTCAGCTGTATGAGCTACTCTTGCAGAGGATCCAAGTTCAGTTCCCAAGACCAACCATAACTGCATGTACATGTACATCCAACCCAGGGGCATCCAACACCTCTGTGGGCGTTCCTGAGCACACGTGCGCGCACATGCGCGCACACACGCAAACACACACACACACACACACACACACACACACACACACACACACACACTTAGTAATAAACCCTTCTAAAGAAGGTACTAAGTTTCTGTAGAAGTTTTGCTTTTTTAACTTTTTGCTCTAGTGATTCTTATTTATAAGTAAGAAAAATCATAGATTACATACTATGTTTTTAGTATTTTATACTTTTAACTATGGAATCACACATGAATAATCTTGATGCTTAAAAGATGCAAATGTTGTCAAACATAACATCAAACCTTCTAAACCTCAGGCAACATCAACTCCATTCCAAGAGGGAAGTTTGTAACTTGGGCAGTAGCCTTCAGATTGTCTAAAGTTATTTCCATGTAGATTGTGCCTTATGTTTCTTAGTTTTCCAACATGAATGAAGTGTGTTATCCTATCAAATGCTTTTCTTCATGTAGCAAAATGTTTTAGAGAGCCTTCTGTGCCAGTATACACACACACACACACGTGCGCGAGCGTTATGCATATATAATGCAGGAACACGTGCCTTTGCTTGTGCTGTGAAGTAGGCCAGGAGTCAGGGTCAAGTGTCTCCTCTATCATGCTCCACCATTTGACTAGACAGTCAGGCCTACAGGTCCCTAGACCCTGCCTGCCACACTCGTAGCACTGGGATTGCAGATGCACGCCACCATGCTGTTTTTACGTAGGTGCTGGGGATGTGAACTCTGTTTGTCCAGCAAGCGCTTCACCCTCTGAGCCATGTTAGTCTTCTAACATAGCCCAACTTAATAGACTGCTAACGCCTCAGCAGTTGCATTTATTCCCAAATAACTTATTGGAGGGCATTAATTTGATTTAGCTCCTACTTTTAGGTACTAAAATTATCCAATTAACATTTCATATATATTATTTCCCAGTACTGAGGCTCAAACCTAGGGGCTTATACAAGTTGGGCAAGTACTCTACTACTGAGATACATTCCTAAACCTCAAATACATCTTTGTGAGCCTACAGAAGAACTGCTGGGCCATAAGGAATACAAGTACAGAATTCTTCAATTGTAAACTGCTGTGGGATGTTCTGTATGTTAAATGTGTTGCTCTGATTGGTTAATAAATAAAACACTGATTGGCCAGTAGCCAGGCAGAAAGTATAGGCAGGACAAGGAGAGAAAAGAATTGTGGGAACAGGAAGGCTGAGACACTGAGACACTGCCAGCCACCACCATGGAAAGCGAGATGCAAGGTACCAGTAAGCCACGAGCCACGTGGCAACTTATAGATTAGTAGAAATGGGTTAATTTAAGATATAAGAATAGGCCGGGCGGTGGTGGCGCACGCCTTTAATCCCAGCACTCGGGAGGCAGAGCCAGGCGGATCTCTGTGAGTTCGAGGCCAGCCTGGTCTCCAAAGCGAGTTCCAGGAAAGGCGCAAAGCTACACAGAGAAACCCTGTCTCGAAAAACCAAAAAAAAAAAAAAAAAAAAAAAAAAAAAAAAAAAAAAAAAGATATAAGAATAGTTAACAAGAAGCCTGCCATGGCCATACAGTTTTTAAGCAACATAAGTCTCTGTGTGTTTACTCAGTTGGGTCTGAGTGGCTACAGGACTGGCGGGTGAGAGAGATTTGTCCTGACCGTGGGCCAGGCAGGACTGGAGAAAACTCCAGCTACAGTAAACAACAAAAATACCCACCAAACTAGTTTATGCAAAAACACAATTACACAGTGGCTCATGGAACTGGATAATGTAAGGCAGGTCTGGGCTTTAGGGATGGTTTAATCCAGAACTGGAAATACCCATTCTCTTAATTTTCTGGCTTTTATAAATTTTCAACCTCCACATGACAAAACTCCAAGTTCTGGTCCCCAAAGCCATGACAGTTCCAAGCTCACATATGAGCAGAAGCAGAGAAGAATAGTCTCAGATTCTCAGAAAAGTCCATTAGATGCTTGTATCCCACCAGCATGGGTCTTATTCCCTTATTCCTGCATGCACAAGGGTAGACCAGCAGGGATGGATGTGGAGAGAAGAGACAGAGGATAGGGAGGAGAGAGCTTGCCTACTTATGACTAAGTAATGTGCTCCTTCCTGTTTGGCCATGTAAGGAGAGTCATTCATTTAAACCCTGCAGACAGCAAGACCAGGATGAAAAAGATCCACTCCTCTCTATTCTTCCCACTCAGTAAAGCTAAAATCCCTGTACATTGTATACAAAATGAAACTAAGAAGCCTGGGAAGTTGAGTAAAGAAAACACAGGTTGGATACATGGTTCTGCCATGAGCACAAAATTGTGGGTTCGCTTTACAGCATGGGGGTGGGGTGCAGGCTCTCTGGGGACTCCACGTTCTGAGAAATGAGGCAGTGATGACTTTTTTGCATAATATATTCTAAACTTGAAGCTAGAGAAGAGACCATAACAGAAATGATGCCAGGAATAGACAGAAGCACACCCCCTTCCCCTGAAGCAAAGAAACAAGAAATCCAGTAAGACAGCCTAGCCTACTCTATCGAAACAGTCTGGGAAAAACACAACCTTGCTTGTCCCTTTATCCACAAGGCTGAGTGGGGAGACTAGGGTCCCACTCCATCCAGATGCCCCAAGCACGGTCCACTTCTGCTAGATGGAATCAGAAAAGAAATCAAGACTTTCATCACACCTGGTAGAAATCTACCTCCTTGCAGCACACAGAAAGCTATGGAAGAATGGTGGACATCCACCCAGACCAAGCACTGGGGAGACCCGGCTCTTCAACAGTGGAGCATTGTCAGAAAGGGCTGAACGGGAAGCCAAGACTTGTCCTCTCACCTTTCCCAACATCTACCCATCAGTCCCTGACTCCTCACCCTAGTCAGAAGCTGCAAACCCGTCTCCACCTGGCCCCAGCAGGGCGTCATGAGAGGAAGCCAAGCAGAGGAGCAGGAGTCTTCACTCCGACCACAGCAGGAGTGGGGTGCTGCCCTTCATTCCTCAACAAGTTCTGCATCAGAGGAGACACTAAAACAGAAAACTAAATAAGACCTAGAGTCTCTTGAGAGACGCTCAAACTATGAGTCATGCCAGGAGCCAGGAAACCTTCAGCTTGAGTGAGAAAAAAGCAGACATTAGGCACTGGGGTGGCAAATACTAGATGCTGCGGCAAAGATTTTAAAGCAGCTATGGTTTCAAAAAATTAAACCCTTCAATAAGAAGTTTAAAATGTGATTGAATAAAAACAATGGAAATCTTAACAAGGACATATAAAAGAAAAATACATAGAAATTTTACTCCTGAAAATCACAATAATCAACTTTTACAATCTCAAATGATAGCAACATACCAAAAAAAAAAAAACAAAAAAAAAAAAAACCACAGGAACTTGAAGGGAGAAAAATACCTAATCTGAACCATACAAAGTAAATAAGCTGGGACCAAGGAGCTAAACCTCACAGACTCCTGACTATCACAAATATCTGATTAACTAATTTGATGTAATTAAAGTTCAAAAAAAGAGAAAAGTGGAACTTTTTTAAGTGTTTGAAAACATAGTGGCTGATGAGTGAATTGCCCCAAATTGGGCAAAAGATTCAAGAAGCTGAATGAAAACCCAAACAATGGAGTGGAGCAGGAGAGCTGGCCCTGAGGTCATCAGAGCAGGAGAGTTCTCCCTGCCCCTCACCAGCTACAGCTCTCCAGAGAAAGGCCCCTGTACCTGGCCATGAAGGTGTAGGTTTGGGAGAGCTGCCTCTGAGTGTGTGAAAGCAGAACTGGCCCCGCCCCTCGCTCATCCTACAAAGGGTGAACTCACCAGGGCAACGCAGGAGAGCTCACCCTGGTAGTGAGTACAAGGGAGAGCTGGCGGGCTGACCAACCCTACAGTTGCCCAGACCCAGAACCAGGGTAATGATTTGGCCAACCCCAACATCCACCCCATCTGTGATCTGCTGGAGCACGTGAAGGGACTGGTCCTGCAGACCCAAAGTCACAGGATCTCCAGGACACAGGGCAACAGCAAGATATCCAAGAGGAGTCCCAGTGAGGGCCCAGCATCAACAGTGTAGCAGAAACCAGAGGCCTCGAACCAGACCAATGAGTCTTTGCAATGAACATATACAAGAAAAGATAAATGGACTGAAGGGTATACTGTGTGGCTCACTGTGTCACACTGCAGCTTCCATGAGGAGATTTCCCCCCTTTTTTCCTTTATTTTTTTCTTTTAAATTTTATTTTATTTGGGTGGGGGAAGGTTGCAAGGTCAGAGGGTGGATACAGGAAATGAATGGGATTGAGATGCATGATGTGAAAGACTCAAAGAATAAATAAAAAGAAAGAAAACCCAAACAAATCCATAGAGACACAGTCAAATTTTCAGAAAATAAAGGGCAAAGGAGAAAAAAAACTTTTTCAAAAGTGATTGGGGAAAATGAAACCTTAAATACAGGAGGAAAATATTTTAAAAGACAGGTTTCCCATGAGAGGCCATGAAGGGAGGGACGAAGGGAGACATTTTTTCAGGAACCTGTCAGCTTGAATTCTAGACTTGACAAAGTCATCCTTCAAATGAATAAAGGAAAGAAATGCTCAGGTAAAGAAAACTGAGTGTATGACCTGCACACCAACTCTAAATACTGTGAGCAAAGCAAATTCTTAAAAGACCAGGAAAGTGATTTTTTTAAAAAGGGAATCAGGAAATCAGGACACCAGGGAGGAAGATGAAACAATGGAAAGAGAAAAATACAGGCAGGCCGTATTGGATTTCCTTACTTTATATTTCCTAAATCGTATTTGACAGCAAAGGCAAATGCATGCCATCAAATGTGGTCTTGAAAACTGCCAGAAGCTAAGGCCGCAGCTCGGTGTACAGCACTTGCCTGCCACGAACAAGGCCCACATGACAGAGCAAACATGTAAACACAAGTCTTTCTAAGGGGAGGGTGGCTGGAGGGCTGGCACAGCAGTCGAGAGTGCTCACTGCTCTTGAGAGGACACAGGTTCAGTTCCCAGCACCTCCAATGGCAGTTCACAAGTCCAGTTCCAGGAGATCCAATGCCCTCTTCTGGCCTCCATGGTCTACTGCTTGCACACGATGCACATAAACTCACACAGGCACACACACACATACATTAAGTAAATAAACATATAGATAAATCTGTTTAAAGAGGGACAAAATGTTGGAGACATCTGTACATTTAGGAAAGTAAATTACTTAAAAAGCAAGGTTCCTGAGTTTCACTGAAACTGGTAAATGGTCACCAGCAGCTCTCTGGATGGCAGCAGCGTATGCATGCTGACTGCAGTGGTGACTGCTGGTCACCAGCAGCTCTCTGATGACAGCAGTGTGTGCATGCTCACTGCAGTAGTGACTACACAAGTGTGCCTCTGCTTTTGTTTCCACAGAAAGCCAGAGGCTATGGATTTGTTCCAGATTAAGATACATCAGGTTTGACCAGCCAAGACCCCCTGAAAGGTCTCCGATGACACCATGGCTCAGATGATCCAACATCCAGAACCATTTCAAGGCAACTGGCTCAGATGATACACCCTCGTGGACTACTCCATAATCCTAAAATTTTCTTTGTGTCCCCATAAGATACAGCACCCCCCTCCAGCAGGAAGTAGTAAGAGAAGCTACGCCCAAATTCCCAAATATACCAAGCTGACTTTGGAGATGTGTAAAGGTTAAAACCTTCCTCTTTAAAAAAAAAAGAAAGAAAGAAAAGGGGAAGTGCTGTGGGATGGTCTGTATGTCAAATTGCTCTGATTGGTCAATAAATAAAACACTGATTGGCCAGTGGCCAGGCAGGAAGTATAGGCAGGACTAACAGAGAGGAGAACAGAGAAAACAGGAAGGCGGAGGGAGTCACTGCCAGCCGCCGCCATGACAAGCAGCATGTGAAGATGCCGGTAAGCCACGAGCCACGTGGCAAGGTATAGATTAATGGAAATGGATTAATTGAAGCTGTAAGAACAGTTAGCAAGAAGCCTGCCATGGCCATACAATTTGTAAGCAATATAAGTCTCTGTGTTTACTTGGTTGGGTCTGAGCAGCTGTGGGACTGGTGGGTGACAGAGATTTGTCCTGACTGTGGGCAAGGCAGGAAAACTCTAGCAACAAGGGTGCCTATGTGATGAAATGGCACAGAACCTTAACACCCACATTCTACCAGTGTCACCTGCCTGTCTTTACTGTCATGCTCTAGTTACACAAGATGTAACAACTGAAGAAAACTAGGCTAAGGGTACATGGAACTTGGCAATTTTGCCCATTTAAAAATAAGACCACTTAGGAAGGCGGGGAATCATTAAGATTTGTGCAGCCTTCTACCCAGCCTGGAGCACTATCACCAAAGCAGAGCATTGTCTTTCTCTTGGTGGCATAGTTCCAAAACAAAAATACAGAACTTGAAAGAAAATTTTAATTCCAGATGACTTGATATGCAAATCCATTTCCTTAACAAAGCCAAAGAAAAACATGTGGGTTGTAAGGTGTTCTGAATATATAGAAAAGATAAAAGAGGCTGAGTTAGCACCTGCTGTGGTCTGACTGTGTCTCTTAGGTTTGTAGGCTGGAGACAAAATCCCCAGCACAGCAGTCCTGGAGGGGGAGGCCCAGAAAAGCGTGGTTAGGTCACAGGGTTCCGCCCTCCTAATGGACTATTGCTGTTTCACCAGCCTGGGTTAGTTACTGGGAGAGTGTTATAAGGTGAGTCTAGACACCTCTTACTCTCCTGTTCTCACACTTCTATGTGCCATGACAGAGGAAGAAAGCCCTTACTTGGACCCTTAAGCTTAAACTTCCCAACATCTGGAACTGTAAAAACTAAACATCTGTTCTTCACAAATTACCAAATCTTCCTGGACAATGGTGGTGCACACCTTTAATCTCAGCACCTGGGATGCAGAGGCAGGCGGATCTCTGTGAGTTCAAGGTCAGCCTGGTCTACAAAGCAAGTTCCAGGATAGCCAGGGCTACACAGAAACCCTGTCTCAAAAAAAAAAAAAAAAAAAAAAAAAAAAAAAAAAAAAAAAACCCAAAAACCAAAAAAAACAAAAACAGGCTGTAGCAGCAGCAGCAGACAGGCCATGGCTATGGCAGCAACTTTGGCTAAAGAAAGATGTGCCTATCTATTACAGCAAGGCTGGTTAAATTTCCCACTAATTTATGCCTTAACCACCTTATTTCCTGAGCAATCTCTATATCTTAAAAGCCAAAGAAGCAGTGAAGAAGAAACAAATCAAATGCAAATGCCCCTCACCCCAGGGAAGAGGAACGGATCCATAAAAGGCTGCTGCCCCCACTGAAATCAGACTAAAATTTTACACAATGCTACTTCGGAATGCATCTTCTCAAAATTCAGACCTTGTAGAAAGGACTGTACTAGCACTCAGAGTTTTATTTGCCTCTTTTTCCAGACTGTATTTGGACAGGATTTGCCTTGGCCATCCATGTGACTCTGGACTGTCACAGGGGAAACACTGAGTGGTGTAGTTTTGGAATCAGAGAATCAATAGATGAGTGAATGAACCAGCGGCTGAGGGTGGAATGGGTGGATGACGGGAGAAGAGAATGAACCGCACTGGAAGCCAAAAGAGAAAGGTGACTTTGGAGAAACATAGAATGGATAAAAGATATACAAGGGCCACTTCTCAATTGTTCTTATGTAAGCACAAACTGCCCTCCCACCCTAATGTCTCAGTTAGATAAAACTTGTCCACACTGACCAGGAACTAACCAGAGTAGTGCTGAAGAAAATTAAGGAGCACAGCTCCAAACCTGGATTGTTACTGAAAAGAACAAAAACAATGACATGGAAGTTAGCCAGAATCAGAACTCAGAGCCAAGGGTCATTATGAAAATGACCTAGGGGCACACATAGCTCTTGGAGAAGGCAATGGACTTCCTACTTTTATTTTTTCCCCATAATATTATTAAATTAGTCTGAGCCAACTTTAGTTAAATTTCAAAGAACTAACACTGTGTGTATTGTTTTGGTTCCAGGGTCATTATACTTTTTTTTTCTTTGCAACAAGAATTAAAAAAACTAAAGAAATAGAAAAAGGGAAGAAATGAAAATAAATAAAATTGAGGTTGTATCTAGAAAACAGAGGAGACAGAAAGAAAAAGACAACCAAGTGAAAAATCTACAATTACCTCATTCTGTCTGGTTTGGCAGTCATATAATCCAAAAACAGCATTTCCCTTATTATCCTAAAAATTAATTAGATGTTTATTAGTGTCATTGTTCAGGAAATTAGGTTGTCACTGGTTTTTAAACAAACCTAAAGTAACTCTAACAGCAGGCACTCTAAGGGAAGCCTGCTGCACACATCTATCCAGAAGGCCCAGACCTAGTTCAGCTGGTGGCTGGAACTTGGAGAGGAAACAGTCATCACTGAGCAGCTTAGAGCATCTGGGCACTGGCTAGAAGGCCTCAGCACGGACCTCCAACTGTGTCCTCAAGAGAATAAATACGGCAGATAACGGGATTGGACAAAATCCATAATATTCAAGTAAGTAAAATTGAATCTTTAAATGTATCATCCCTAAATATAACTTAAGAATTTTTTTAATCAACAGGGAAACAAAGTATGGTGGGATAAATGTCTAGAACTAACTGCTGGAATTACTCCTTCATGTGTCCCTATTAGCAGATTTGTCAGTAAAATTAAATTTTTCTTAGGACATCCAACATCTGACGATGTTGTTAAACACTCACAGTGTCAACTATGGTTATACTTACATCTGAATGTACAGAGTAACCATAGCTAACATTTTCTCAAAGACAAAATTTTAGCATACTAGTTAGGTTTAAATATCTTAGCCCTTTTTTCCTCTAGAAAATGAAATTATCCATCCATTCAAATTCTGTGAATTTCAGATATGTAGCTTCATCTGATTTTTAGAAGAGAAAATATCTCATAAGATGGACTATCAGCCGCTCTTCAATGCCACCTACACAGAAGCCAAGGATGTCAAAGGTTAAGTACCGATAAGTCTGCACTGCCCTTCAATAAAGTGGAGTACAGGATTTCTAAAAAGTTAGTCTTAGCACTGGGGGAGTAGAGGCAGGCAGATTTCTGTGAGTTTAAGACCAGCCTGGTCTACATGGTGAATTCTAGGCTAGCTATGGCTAATAAGTGAGATCCTGTCTCAAAAAAAAATCTGTAAAAGGATAATATAAATGATGAAAACAGTAAACTATACGTTGTATATACTTACTGCAATAAGAAGACAGTGTGGACTCACCTTATAGGTATAAATAATGTTTCCATTTCTTTCAATGTTTAGTACACGTAAGCTCTCCTGAGCTGTTTCTAAAACACCTGGAACACATAATGGCAGGCTAGTATTCAGAAAATGCTTTTTAACACATCCAACAAATAGAGTATTCATGAAAGAAATCAAGTTCAAAACTATAAGCTGATGATTCTGTTATACAGAGCTTACAATGAGGCAAACTTAATCTATCCAACTAGAAGCCAAAGCAGGGGGAGGGGGTACTTTGAGCACACTGATAAGCTTGTGAGATATTCACTGGGCTATACCCTATTGACCTCTTGACTACACACACTTCTATATGTTGTATCTTATCATATCAATTTTATACTAGCTTTTCTTTATGCATTCTGAGGCTACATCATTAGTGACATACCAATTTAGAATTATTATACTTTCCTGCTGGATTCACCTCTTGCCAGGTACTCAGCTGAGTTCCAGGTGTTTGAGTAGTAATTAAAATAATAAGATTTGTAAAAGCAGGGCACTGAGGAGATGGCTCAGTTGGCAAAGTGCCAGTCAAACAAGCATACAGACCTGCATTCAGATCCCAGCACCCATACATGTACATCTGCAACTCTGCTGCTGGAGTGGATCCAGATGGACCCTCTACCTTACTGGCCAGCCAGTGAGTAGCAGGTTCGGTGAGTGACCGTGCCTCAAAGATGGCATACAATAGAGGAGGACACCCAACATCATCTGCTAGCCTCTACCCATGCACATGTGCATGCATACACTCCACTCACATACACACAGGGAAACAGTAAAACCCTTCCTCACTTAATATGATGTCATAAGCAACAGGCTAAACCAGAGAAAGTACAGACAGCCCTCTTCCATCTTCCCCATGGGATGCTGCCTTTGATGAATGATGCGGAGAGTTAGCACAGGTGTTAATACTCAGAAAAGGTTTTTTCTCTTGCTATCAAGAACCACCTCCACCCCATAAAGGTTCATGTGAGGTAAGCACCCAGGAGGAGAAAGAGAGGAGGGAAATGGAGTTAGGAGTGGAAAAGTACTGGTCGGAGCTGAGAACATTCCATCCCCTACTGAAGGGGCTTCTGTTGTGGAACATTTGTTAAAGATGTGTTACATTCTTCTCTGCTGTGGAATATTTGTTTAGTAATGCAAAGATGTGTTGCATTCTTTTATGTTGCATTTATTTAACTCTGTGAAGTTGTGTTGCTTTGCCTGTCTAAAACACCTGATAGTCTAATAAAGAGCTGAACAGCCAATAGCTAGGCAGGAGACAGGCTAGAAAGTGCTAGAAGGCAGAAAGAATAAATAGAAGGAGAAATCTGGGAAGAGAAGATTGAGGAAAAAGAAAAGAAGGAGAGGAAGACATCAGGTGCCAGCCACCTAGCCACCCAGTTACACAGCAAGCCACAGAGTTAGAAGGAAAGAAAGATATATAGAATAGAGAAAGGTAAAAGCCCAGAGGCAAAGGGTAGATGGGATAATTTAAGCTAAGGAAAGCTGGCTAGAAACAAACCAAGCTAAGGCTGGGCATTCATAAGAAAGACTAAGTCTCCATGTATTTATTTGGGAGCTGGGTGGCAGGGCCCCCCAAAGAGCCAAAGAGTGAAAAAAAAACAAACAAAAAACAGGCCTCAGAGAGGTCTCTGCCAGGAGCCTCCCTAAGATTCCTGGTCCTGATGGCAATTCCCTACAAGGGCTAAAGCTAGGAGAGGGCAGTTTCCTGTGAGGCCTTCCAAGTACAGCTTTGTAATTGTATGTATGCCTGTGTGAAAAAGTACACCTAAGTCTTAAGCAGGAATTAGACTTTTTTCATTGAAGAATTTCTTTTCTTTCCTCTTTACACCCTTCTTTGGCCCTTACACAGTGACATGGATGTTCTGGATATGGCTCGCACGGTGTAACTTCTTCTGTCCTTTACTGTTAATCCCCTTGCCACTCATGATTACAGGATGAGACTTGTGAGCAGAATCACCTCTTGGTTCCTCTGCATCCTCCCCACCGCCCCCAGCTGACACTCAGTCTTTCCACAGGATTAACAGTCCACTCTCACTTAGAGTAGCGGTCTCAGGTCACACTTGGACTACTATTTGTCTTCTGTGACGCGCTTATTTACTCCTTCCAGATGGGAGTTGACATTTCCTCCTCCCGGTTACTAACTTGTCAGTTACATCCTCTTTTCCTATCCTCTAAGAGCTCATGGATGCTCAGCAGTATGCTTTAATGTTACATGGCACCCAAGAATATGATGCAGTATCTACTGAACAGTATAAGCTGAACACAGATGATTCAGGAAGCTCCCTTGCACCAGTATCCCAACAGCAATCTATATGTTCAACATATGTTCAGCAAAAGGCAAATCTGAGCTACTGTGGTTCATAGTAGCCCAAACTGAATCCCCCAAAGTGCCTACCAAGAGCTAAACAGTGGAATACACTATGACAATGAAAAAGAACTAACCATAGCAACACAGAGAAGTAACAGAGCAAAGTCAGGCATGGTGGTGCAGGCCCTAGCACTCAGGAGGCAGAGGCAGGCAGTTCTCTATCAGTTTGAGGCCAGCTTGGTCTACACATAGGGACCCTGATTAAAAAAAAAAATTGAGCAAACTACAAAATCCCCATAACCACTGAATGCCAACTGCTTTACTTGATTGGAATGTTTCTGAAACTGACAAAATCAGTCTCTGGAGCTAAATGAGCAACTGCCTTGAAGCACAGAGGACCTGCTGCAGCTAATGTGTTTCTTCCTGCTCTGAGTGCTGCCTCTGGGGGCTTCACTCAAGGGAAGCTGACCGAACTGTGGGTCCTTTGCAATAAACACAATCATCTTCTAGAGCAAGACAGAAAGACCCTTTAGACAAAACGTTTAACTTAAAATTTAACTGCCCATCTTCATCTACAAGTTTTAGGAGAGTCTTGATTCTATAGGTAAAGGACTTAAATAAACAGAGGTTTGTAGAGAATTCTTGATTAACATTAACTGAGGAGTAACTGATATTTTTAGCTTCCTCAAAAGTTGTTCACAGTTTGCTTAAACTTAATTGCTCATATATGAATAGAGCATCCAGACATTAAAACAGTATTGCATTTGTTATGGAAAATTCAAATGTTTAGATGAAGCATGCAAAACATCCTACAGCACATCCTGTTTGTATTTCTAATTCAAAAGAAAATAAAAGCAGGAATAAAAAACTGGACACCACAGCTGGAGCTGGTGTGGGACCCTTCAGAGAAAGCGCAAGTTTCACAGAGGCTTGGCCTTAACCCTGAAGTCTCTCTTCCTGCCTGTCACAGACATCATTGTGTAAGAGATCTGCAGAGAGGATACCGAAGTGGTTTTGATAGACAGGTGTATACTTCTATTGAACTGTCAGGATCACTTCACACTGATTTTAAAATATATGGATAATTATTCGATCTTAAGCAGAACAAGGTTCAGTCAGCTGACTGCCAAGTAGCACTTCACAATGTCTTCTCATTTCCACATCACTCACTCTTTGGCTCAGGTGTTATAGGCCCATTGTACTTAAAGGACAACTGAGTTCAGCAAGGTGAGGACCAGGCCAACCTCACACAGTAAAGAAACAGTGCAGGGTCATCTAGACCCAAAATGGACAAAAAGAACAGTGAGCTAGTGACAGCAAGATGAGTATTACCCTTTCAGGGGATTCTGTAACAGCTGAAGTTCGTTCCCATCCTGCAATGACGTAAAGCTTCTAGAATGCAGTGTGTCAATATTTTGAGAATTTTTTTTTCTTTCAAGAGTATAAGGATACTGGGACAGACCTTCACAAAAGTATACTTAAAAGGTTTCAGCTAAGATAAGAAATTCCTCTACAAGAAGTCTTGAAAAAAAATCTTGGCAAAACACCTATTTTTAAATTACTAAAAAGTCTCCACCAAATACAGATTATAATTATCTAGTGCATGCACACGCATACATATATCCATACATAAATACATAATACATACCATGGGCACTCAACTCTGCCTGTATTAGAAACATGAGAGGAGCTTTTTAAGTAATACTGATGCTCCACAGAAGAACCAAGATACTCTCATCTTAAAAAATACATATTATAATTTATTTGTTTATTTGGTGTGTGAGGAAGGGGGAGAAAGGGAAAGGGGAGAATAGAGAAGGAGGGAGTGAGAATGAGACCATGAGACACATGTGCAGAGGACACCTTGAAGCAGTCAGTGCTCTCCTTGCACCCTGAGGGACTCAGATCATCAGGCTTTGAGCAAGTGTCTTTTCCTACTGGGCCATCTCACTAACTCAAGATATTCTGATTTTTAGGAGACTGGTGTGGGGACCACTCTTGTGTGTGTTGATCTCCTAGATATTTTTCATTGCACAACATTTATCAGCTACCACAGCTAGAACCTGGGCCAGAACATGGTGCAATCACAGTACACAGGATTGAGAGAAATAAAAATGTCTTTGTGGACACATCAGCTAGCGCTAGCTCTAGCTGGACTCACGGCTTTCATTTCAAGGGTGTGTGAAATGGATGCGTTTGGCAACACTGGGAATGTAGAATGATGTCTCACCACACCCTCAATCATTTGCCACTTCCTCTCTGGGGGAGTTGCTCACACTTTAACACACCCTTCCCTAAGAAGTATTCAGTAACATCTTTGCTTATTTATTCATTCTGACTCTTCCCCCAGTAAAGTATCTCTGGAAAGTCCAGAGGAGGAAGTTTAACTATTTCAAATGAGGAAACGTGGTTTAATTTTAGAGTTCAGTAAACTCTGGGATCACAGTGACACATTTTGATAAGGAAGTTACTTGCATAAGTGAACCTGCTAAAGAAAGTCTGAAACATACAAAGCATTGTGATGACTGAGGTAAGAAGAAACAGAAGTTGGCTTCCCAAACAATCTTGTTCATTTCAATCCATTCTTTGCTAAAGCAGAGTGATTTCACATCACAGGAAGATGTTCCCCAAATGTATAAACTTTAGTCCAAACTGCTACGAGACAAGAATTGAAATAATTTTGTCTTCCTAATGACAGTACTTAGAGAGGGGAGTCGGACAGTCTTACAAAAAAATGTGAGCCAGTTCCCAACACACAGGGCAAAAGGTGGTGAAACAGGACTGCTCTTGGTCTGTACACAATCCACCCAGTCCCTCAGGCTCAGAATGATCAGGTTTTATAATCCTAAATCAGGAATACTGTGATGTGACGTATCTCACACTCTGAAATGAAATGAAAGGAGCAAGCACAGGATGATGCATTAGGAATCAATAAAAAGAGAACTGAGAATTAGAAAAGGAGACCAGGGACATGGGAAGGAAAAGTAAACAGGAAGGACAGCGGCAAGAGAAAACACCACGACTGAGGCCACCCTCCAGCGCCGCCGGCCCCCCCCCCCATCAGTCTGCAAGATGAGATACAAGAGGAGATAAAGAAAAGCTGGTTTTCAAGTTACCTGGCAAAATATATTACTGTCCATGAAAGAGCATGAGATTTAAAATCAATCTGGTGTGTCACAACTTCAAGCCTAAGCAAAGCACCGGAAAGAAAACTCAGACTCTTTCTGGAATTACACATATGGTCCCTGACAACATTTCAACTTATGCTTTTTTAAAGTGGTATCAAAGCAATTCAAAATACTTAGTAAAGACACCAACTGGAATGGCAAACTCAGAGACCTCCCACATGTCAGCCCTGTCTCTGCAGAGAACTAAGTAAAGTTCTCTGTAAACTAAGTAAAGCTGAGTTCCTGTGAAGCACTGTTTCCCAAAAACCACTTAGCCCTGTGGGATCACCCCTGTAAAAGACAGAGAAAAGGAGCTGGTCCTAGAAGGAGGAGAAGTCAAGCTTCCAGATGGCCCTGAAGCCTGGGGAGGGAGGTGGGGGAGGGGAGGGGAGGAGGGGGTAGGGGGGCAGGGGAGAGAGGAAAAGGGAGGATAGGGGCAGGGGGCTGGGGCTCCAGAACTCAACCTGATTGCCAGAGTAGTCTCACACTGAGTCAGAACGGTCGGGCCTTTTATACCCTGCTACAGTACCTCACCAGCGATACTGTGCCTGGTGAAAAATAATGATTTCTGTGTAGCCAATTGACTTGAATAAATCTTACAATATTGAGAAGAGATTAAAATGAAAAGAAAGTATAGTATGCTTTTCATTTACTTGAAATTTAGATAAAAAATGGCTTAAAACTATCAATAAAATGAAAAGAATGTTAAATATAAACTATTTAGCCTTCTGGGGGATTGAGATGAAGAGTCCTGTGAGCGTGCATGCACACAGGCCTTCCAAGGTCTGCTTCTTCTCATTTTGTAGGTGGACAGTAGGAACATGGTTTTTTTTTTTTTTAAATCACTATTCAGAGGTAACATATGTTAAAGTATTTTATGTAACTATTTTGAGTTTTGTGAATATTTCTCATTTTGTTTCAAGAGAGACCATATTGCCAAAGTTCAACACAGAACCAAGAGTAGACAATAATCAGACCTGGCCTCCTAGCCCTCAAGCCTTTGTTGACCACATTTTCTATTTCATGGCTGCCAAAGTTCCCTGACTGGCATTGCCAAGCTCACTGGCTATTTTGGCAAGAATATGTCATGTTTCGTGAGAACTACTTGGTGTCACTAAGAGGTTTTCAATTTGTTGATGTAAAAATATTAACAGGGCAGTGAGATGCTCAGCCGGCCAAGGGCCTGACAACCTGAAATTCATCCCCAGGTCTCACATGGTGGGAGAAGAGAACCACCCTCTGAAAACTGTCCTCTGATGTCCACAAGCACACACACACACACATCTGAGCACACATGTGCATACACACACATGCACACATACACAATGCACAATTACTCAACAAATGGAAGTAACTTGGGGGGTATTAACAGTTCAGATTTTAAAAGTTGAGGTATGCAGAAAGCAGACGCACAATCATTGACAGTGTTACTCCTATTTAAGTTTTTGAAAACTGGAACTTCAAAAAATAATTTGCATAAGCATTTTTAGTAATGGATACACTATAAATAAAGTCTAATTTCATATTTTCCTGCAAAAGCTAGTGTGTGTGTGTGTGTATATGTGTGTGTGTGTGTGTGTGTGTGTGTGTGTGTGTGTGTGGTCTCACACAGGTGAATGCACCTGTGTAGGCCAGAAGTTGATGACAGGCATCCTCCTCAGTCATTGAACATAGCTCTCAGGAATTCAGCTAGACTGGCCAGCCAGCAAGCCTCAGGATCCTGCTGTCTGTCTTAGCAGCCCTGGAAGGACAAGTTTGCTGCACACCCCCTTCTGTGAGCTGGGGTTCAAGCTTGGGTCCCCAGATTGTGCTGCACACCCCCTTCTGTGAGCTGGAGTTCAAGCTTGGGTGTCCAGATTGTGCTGCACACCCCCTTCTGTGAGCTGGGGTTCAAGCTTGGGTCCCCAGATTGTGCTGCCTCCCCCTTCTGTGAGCTGGAGTTCAAGCTTGGGTCCACACGATTGTGGGGCACACCCACTTCTGTGAGCTGGGGTTCAAGCTTGGGTCCCCACGATTGTGCTGCACACCCCCTTCTGTGAGCTGGGGTTCAAGCTTGGGTCCCCACGATTGTGCTGCACACTCTTCTTCAAAGGAGCCACCTCCAGCCCCTGGTTTTGTTTGTTCTTTACTTGTTTTAAGCTACACTCAGTGGTGACTATGGGGATTGCAGGACGAAGAACTTACCACAGTTCTCTGAGAAACCTTAAAATACAATGCCAAAAAAAAAAAAAAAAAAAACCAAAAAAAATCCACTAAATTTTTACTGAAACACCAATACACAGGTTTGTAATTCTTCACAGTGAATGAAAGTGAGTGAAAATGAATGAAAGATGCAAGGAAGCCAAAATCCAGCTGGGGCACACACAGCTTTTCAACCACAGCACACACACACACTACTGAAACATAAGACTGGGCATTTTATATTTCACCCAGCTTCTAATCTGCAATCACCTGCCATTTAGCAAAATAAAGTAGGAGCTGGGAAAGGACTATTTTTGTGATGGGAAACAGACTTGGAGTTGCTTATAATATTTCAAAAAGCTAAACCTTCAAAAACATTAACAAAGCAAGTGAATCAGAAGCTAGATAAACCTTCTATACGTTCTAAGGTTGTTTATGTGTGGCTAGCTGCAATACGCAAAGACAAGGAATCACACAGGCGTAACCTCCACAAGAGCTCAGAGGAAAGAAATTGTGGATATGGTAATTTGATGTCCCCCCACCCACCCCCTCCACACACAATCCGCTGGCAGTCTACAGTGTTTAAGGAAAACCAAAGATAGAAAGAAGTGAGCACACGGGCACACACAGCTCCTATGCACAAGGTGAGCCCTGAAGATGTTTCCTTATTTACGGTCTTTAAAAAGAAAGGAAAAACTTAGGAAATTACAGACCCTCTTCTTTTAGGTAGATTAATTCTGGAAATGCACAAAAGTCACTTTCCACTTCCTCACCAGAAGAGCCTCGGTATCAGGAATGACTGAGCATCCCTGCCTCCCTGCTTCTTGTGGCGCAGGGGTGGGGTGGGGCGGGTGTTGGGTGTGTGCTTGGGGGCTCTTGAGCAAGCTGCTGTACCTTTAGCGTCCTGCAGACCCTCACTTCACTGCGTGCATCCTGAAAGGGCACCCTGCCCTGTCTACATCACATCTGGAGGGACATGCCCTCCAAGCCACCAGTGTTGTTCCAGGAATACAGAATCTGTTCCCCAGATATACAGCAAACGTCTTTTTAAAAAGAAGGGGAGTTAAACCTCTGAATTCCCCTTCTTAAAAGCAGATTGGCGCCGGGAACGCTCAGCATCCTCGCTGGGACAGGCTATGCTTAAGGGTCGTTTTCTTGACCACCACAGCTCTGGATTCTGTCAACCTACACTTCGAGGCGCTCCTGGTTCTAGATGAGCCCTGGGGGCAGACAAGGGGGAACCATGCCGCCGCCTCCCGCCTGCCCTTCCCAGTGACGAGGGATCGGGTACCACTGGCCTGGGAGGGCAGCCCCGGTGTCCCCCGAGCCCGGAGGTTCTATGGGACGCCGGGCACCCGGCCCGCCCGCCCCTCCAGGACGCGCCCCGCACCTGCGCCGCCTCCTGCGGCCGCCGTCGCCTCCTGGCCCGGCAGACTCGGGAGCACGTCCGCTCGCACGTCGAAGTGGACGACCAGCCGCAGAGCCATGGCCCGCAGGCGGCGGCCGGGCGGACATTCCGGGCCGGCTCTCACCTTCCAGCCCTGGAGCCGCCTCTCCTTCCTCCCCACGGCCCGCTGCTGCTTTCGGTTCTGGGCGGTCCGGCCAGGAGGATCCCGAGCACCGCCCCTTCCAGGCCGCAGCCTGCCACTTGACGCGGGCACCAGGCCTCTCCCTGGCAGGGAGCTGTCGCAGGGCCCCGACGGGGTTCCTGCAGGAACGCCTGTGCCCGGGCAGAGATTTCTTTTTTAGCCTCAGGTCATTTCCACCTCTTAGCTAGGGCTGGGTCACCCGAGGAGACTCAAGGTTACCACAAAAGGGGCTGGCGTGTTTTGGCTGTAGTGTTTAGGTAATAAACAGCAGCAGGGAGCATGTAAACTACAGGGACAGGAGGGTTTGCTTACCAGTCTGGGTTCTCTTTGTATTCCGGTTCCTTCACAGTGGCTTGAGGAAGCTGGGTTGTCTAGGAGTAGCCTCTGAAGAGATCTGTGAGCACTTTCGTTCTTCCAGGGTTCCTTCCCAACCCCATCTATTCCTCTACAAGTAGATCCAGTGTTTTCATAATCTAGCACTCTGGCTTACTCTGCTCAAGGAATGCACAGTTAGTAAGCTTGGCCCTGTGACATGCCATCCATCCTGTACATCAACGTCCGGTTATTAATTACTGTTGCTAAAACTGAAATAGCCTTAGCCTACATAGTGTCTTATGTTTATAATCCTCGCACTTACAAGGCTGAGGCAGGGGAACAGCTTGGAGGTCATGTCCACCCTAGGCTAGAGAGTGAGACTTGATGTCCAAAACAGTTACCTAGCTAACCTCCTATCTCAAGGCAGACCAACAACTTACTGCCCTAGGAAAAACTACCTGGTCTTTACCCTGGAACCCTCTCTACCTAGAACTTGAACTCCCAACTGATCGGCTCCAGAACCCTTCCGGTCATTCCCACCCTCCTTCTGCCTAGAACAGTTTCCAGGCCCTCCCAGCCCTGGCTCCACAGAGCCCCCTCCTCACGCTGCAGCCCACGGTGACCTTTGTGCCCCTAGAGTGGCATTGCTAACCCATTTCATGGTACCTGAGGTAGACTTCTGAGACAGGAAAATTCAATTTTGAGTCTTGGGATAGCTCTTCTGTCCTACCAATGACTGAATAGGATACCTGGAAGAAATGAATGGTTGTATCAATAAGCTAAAGAATGCTTTTTTCACTTGTGTCTCAAAGTTGGGATTTCACAACTATGGGTACAAGAGTTACCCTGAGGAACTGTCTTAGAGTGCAGGGTGTTTTCTGGCTTGAAGTTGGACAAGACTCAGAAATGTTTTCCCCAAGCCTTGGAACCCAAGTCTTGGGTTCTGAAAACTACTTGGTAAAGGTAGGTCTTGATTTTCCTCTGAGAGTGTCTCTCTGAGGGAGGTAGTGGCTGGAGTAATTGGTGCTGACAACTACTTGCATATTTTTGTAATTTGCATGAAGATTTCAGAGAAATCTACCGATACCGTTGGCTGTGACTAAAGCGTGCAGACATGAGGAGGGACCTGCGAGCCTTGTTATGCACGTTTGCCTGTCTTTTCAAATTTGCTGTCTTCATGTTTGCAGTTTCTGTGCTTGTCAAGTCAGGTGGGTTGGTTGTACGTGGAAGATAGCCCATTTAACAGGAATGCTCCATTTAAATGCTCCACTACGCTATCCTGACCAAGAAAAAGTTCTTAAATTAAGATTTTCTGCCGGGCGGTGGTGGCGCACGCCTTTAATCCCAGTACTCGGGGAGGCAGAGGCAGGAGGATCTCCGTGAGTCTGAGGCCAGCCTGGGCTACAGAATGAGTTCCAGGAAAGGCACAAAGCTACACAAAGAAACCCTATCTTGGAAAAAACAAACAAACAAACAAACAAACAAAAAAAGATTTTCTTGCTTGCATAAAACTCCTGAAAATAACTAAGTTTAAAAAAACTAAAGAGGCTAAAAAATAATAACCAAGAAAGCAGAAAGATATAGCCAGGCACCACAAAACTGCATGCACCACCATGCCGGATGCTCCTTAAGCAGCTGAAGAATACATCATGGTGGTCCTTAGAATCAGAGGATAAGATGGGATAGGAACCACAAAAATTTTATACTTCAGACACCGATCATGGGTGTGATAGTGGCCTGTTGTTATGGAGGGATGCAATGGCTTCCTGGCTCTCCCATAGGAAACTCGTGTCTGGTATAGTAAATCTAACCAAGAATCCATGGTTGAGGAGATCATGGGCCCCAGGAATGAACCTACTATTGTTTTGCTAAATGGACATAGTAGCAAACTGCTTTCTAAATTCATGTCTCTGTACCTACACCTCATCAGAGAAGTTTCTTTGTGCAGTAGATAGTGATTAATGCAGAAACTCACGACTCATTGTCTGTGGAGTGCATGGCTACAATGAGACATCTATATCACATTTTTTCTACCCAAGGCTTAAGGACCATTGAGGAAAAGGAGGTGGAAAGATTGTAAGAGCCAGAGGTCGGGAGGACTGGACCCAAACAGTATCTTCTAGACATGCATGACTGTTGTACTCACAGTAGCTGTGGCTGGCGGCACAAGACCTCTGACAGATCAGCCAGCATAGAACATTCCTAGCATAGAAATGAGAAGGGAGCATGAACTCTTGGCAGTTCTTCTTGGGAAGAGAGAATCAGTTTTCTTTAAGGGTGTAGGCCCTGGTAGGTCTAAAAGAACATTTTTAAAATAAACTCATATGTGTTGAATTAAATAAATCTGAATAAACTAAAAATCAAACTTTGCATTTGGGAAATTATGCCTTTGAAAGGATGGTCAAGAACTTTCTTCTTGAAAGTCATAGAAGTCATTTAAAAACATTAGATTCTGAATAGTCATGACAAAATTCCTCTGCACCACCTAGGAAATGATTAAGGTCCATACCAAAGCTATAATAGTCCTTTACAATAAGGTGGTTTGTTGTGTAGGTATTAAGAATGTTGCTTTCTCAACAAAACTTACTTTTTTATTCTGAGACATTTTCTCTGTATAGTCCTGGCTGTCCTGGAACTCTCTCTGTAGACCAAGCTGGCCTTGAACTCACAGAGATCTGCCTGCTTCTGCTTCATGAGTGCTGGGATTAAAGGCATGTGCCACCATGCCCGGCTGCAATTTACTTTTAATAGAAATAGAAAACATGTTTAAGAGATAAATATTTGCTGTGGTAGTCACTATGACTTTCCAAAACCCATTTGCCCCAGTCAGGAGGTAACAGCTCCTCTTGCCAGTGGTTGGCATAGGAATGGCACTCAGAGCCGAGTTCCCAAGAAGTTAATAAAAACCAAAATTAACCATAAATTAAACACACAGGTTTTATTCCTCACCTATCGTGGAGAGGGTAGTCCAAAGCTCAGAGGGCAGGTTCTTGCAGTCCCTGGGCCTGAGCTCATTTTAGCTCTTGTTCCATCAAACTTTGACTAAACACTCGTCCTCAAGGGTCAAGGTGATTGTAACAATTCAACCACCGTGCTTACATTCTAGAAATCAAAAGGAAGATGGAGGTTAAAAGGATACCTCCCAAAAGGTCTACACATTTTTTAACTGTTTTTGCTTATATTATAAAGTGTCCAGTTTTGTGTCTTTATGGAATTTCTGTGTGTGTGAATGTATGTGTCCCTGTGGGATGGATGTATTTCCTGTGCCTTTTCTTTAGCTCTCCCTCCCCGTTTGTTTGTTTGGTCCTATTCTGGTTTGTTTGTTTGTTTTCTAAATCATATATATATATACATATATATATATGTATATATATATTCATCACCCAGTGAAATAAATCTATTTTCAGTAAAAAAAGAAAGAGCTATTTATATTCTATCATTCCCTTTTAAGCAGCTGAGCTGGTTATTATTAAAAATAGATGTATATATATGTATATATATATGATTTAAATTATATATACACACACACACACACACACACACACATATATATATATTTAAGATGTTTGCTTGTTTTCTAATGAGAGGGAGAGCAAGAGAGGGTATGGATTTAAGTGGGTAGGGAGGTGGGGAGGATCTGGGAGGAGTTTGAGAGAGGGGAAATCATAATCAGAATATACTATATGAAATAAATCTATTTTTATAGATAAATACTTTATCATATATATACATATATACACCTTTTTTTCCTTTTTTCTTATTCTTTTTTTTAGTTTCTGAAGACAGGGTTTCTCTGTGTACCGGCCGTGGCTGTCCTGGAACTTGCTTTATAGACCAGGCTGGCCTCAAACTCACAGAGATCCGTCTGCCTCTGCCTCCCAAGAGCTGGGATTATAGGCATGTGCCACCACCACCCAGTGAAATAAATCTATTTTCAGTAAAAAAAGAAAGAGCTATTTATATTCTATCATTCCCTTTTAAGCAGCTGAGCTGGTTATTATTAAAAATAGATCATTTTCCAATCTGCCTCCTGTGTCTTACACAACGTTCACCCTCCCCCTTCCCTTCCTACCCTTTATTCCCTCCTCTTCTCTTTCTGAATGAGCCCCCCCCCCCCCCTAGAACTATCAGGTCAGGCCAAGAAAAGTGTCTGTGCAGGTGGAATTGAGAGCAGGTGATGGTCAACATTTGGATGCCAGGGTTCAAACAGCATAGAGAATCTAGGCCAGGGTATGTTCCCCAGCATGAGATGTTCTGTCAGAGGCTGTCTGGAGAGGGTAAGGGGGGAAAGAGAGGGAGGAGCCAGGCTGGGAAATCAGATTTCAAGCCACTCAAAGAAAACATCTTCGAGAAGATGTGGCAGCTAACCTGGAAGTCTGGCTGTTTACCTGGCAGTGGGTCTGTTGAGTAAATACACTAAGAGACTGTGTGACTTGATAAAACAGGAAACCAATGGTCAAAGGAGATCCAGGTACACCAACCAAATCAACTGAAAGTTTGATGAGGAAAGGATATCTAGCTTCCAACATACTTACTAAGTCTGGAATTTACCAAGTGAACGTTATCAGTGCGGAACAGATGGTTCTTACAGGATAGTATCAGCTCAAAACATAAGTAACCATAATCTAACCATGAGGAAACATCACACAAACCCAGCTGAAGACATGCACATAATAACTGAAGTGTAGTCTCCAGAAGCAGGAAGGTTGTGAACATCAAGGAAAGGCTGACTGGCTGACAGGAAAGAACACTCTGAAAAGACACGA